GCCCAGGCTGCGAACCGCGAAGCGCGATTCTCTTCACGCCCCCGAGGTGACCCGAGGTCTCGAGGCGCTGGCCGATGACGCTTCCAACGCAGAGCACGCCGCCATCTGCAAGTCCTCGCGCCACGACTGGGAGGTCCACCGAGCGCAGGGTTCCATCGGCCTCTGGGATCCTGCTGGGGCGCACGGCGGAGCCTCCCACGGAAAGCCTCGCCAAGAGGTGCCAGGCAAGGCTCAAGCACTGCCGCGCGAACGTGCTGGCGACCTCTCGCGTCGGAAACATCGGGCACTCGACCTGGCGTGACGGCTAGAGTCCTGGCCGCGAGGGCTCCACCAGGCAGGGTTACCTGAACAGAGTGGATCTACATAGCAATGGGGCACATGGTGGTGGTGGTGGTGGGCATGGTCTGTCGGTAGCACCCAGTTCGAATCATGGGTTAAGGCTGAGGTGGGGGTGTGCTGTATTGCTACAGCGGCGGGCTTACCCGATCACTTCCCCAGCCTAATCTCTGTTCCCTGGGCTGGGGCACCGAGACGGGTTGGCCCCCCACCCGGCGCGTCCATGGACCGCTGGGACGGACAGGAGCACGATGGGACTCGAGAGTCATGTGAGGACGGGGCCTAAATCGACCCCTTCAGGTGTCGAGGCTGCCCGGCCGGGTCAGTGGCGACGGGGAGATTGCGCTGGGGTCTGCTTTTTCGGTCTTGCTGGGTCGGGAGACATGGCGGCCGTTCTGGCGAACCCAGACGAGATCCGCCGCAGGTTTGCCCCACTCGACCCCCTCGAAAGCTCCACGAAACCTTTCTGTGGTTTCTGTGCGGGCCTAAGGGTGTCGTTATGGTGTATGCCGTGTTGGTGTTTGGAGCCCTTTGCCGTTGCTTGGGTGGGCCCATGGTGGGTGAGCCCCTTGCGCCTGCGAGTGTGGCCTTGGGCAGTTAGTCCCTTTGCGGGCGTCCCGTGGTCCTGCTGCTGGCGTGATCACCAAGGACAAGCTTGACCTACAGTCATCGGCCTGACCTAAGGAACGATAGATAAGGAACGAAGCCCCTTTTTCCCCAAGTGAGTCTACGACATCCGCAAGAAAGGCTGGGCCCCTCTCTAGCGGCGTTCCGCCACGATCTGCTTTTGCGATTCGACCCCCGCCTCTCCTGCCAAACTACCACGGAACGCCCGCCCCCTCCTCCCCCGCCGCTCCAACATCGCACGCAGAAGCGCAGCCTGCGAACGACGCGCTAGGAACGCCAAGGGCTCGGGCCAGGAACCGGGCCTTCACGTGACCACTTTCCGATTCGGTTCCGCGCGTGAGCCCCCGCTCGCACCGCACAGGGAACGCAGGGGCTCGCGTGGGGGACTGGGGACTGCACTCCACCGCCCACGTCGTCTGCGTCTCTGCGGTGCTGGCTGCGGTGTGCCGGCCCCGGGGCGGCAGCGTGCACTCCGTGGCGCCGCGGCGGGTCGCCCGCCGATCTGGCTTGACGGGAGGGCCGCTCGACGAACGCAGGAGACGTTGTGGGGGGAGGGGAGGGGTCGGGCGCCGAAGCCTGGACCTCGGCTTTCGCCCTCCTCCTCCTCCTCCTCCTCCTCCTCCTCCTCCTCCTCCTCCTCCTCCTCCTCCTCCTCGGCTGCACTGGACTGCCTTCGCCCTCGGGTCGCCCTCGTGACGGGCCGCGCCCCTGCGACGATCGTCCACGGGCGGAGGCCACAAACTTCTCCTGCTGGCACGAGCCGCCGTCGGGAACTTGGCCACGGGTGGCTCCGATGCAGTCGCGGGGGTCGGTTGAGGCGCCGTGCCCTTCGAGGGATTCGGAGGCCGCTTGGCTGCACGAGGTGGTTCCGACGCAGGCGCGGGGGTCGGTTGAGGCGCCGCGCCCTTCGACGAGTGAGGATTAGGGCGGGCATGTCCCCCTATACAGGCGGATTTTGGGCGGAAAATGAAAGATAGTCAAACATACTCAAGACTTGTCAAATTAGCCTGGCGAAGGGCCCAACCATATGCAGCTGCGAGTACCGCGCGGATATGAGACGAAGGAGGGGGCACGCGAACTAGGCCCCTCTTCTCATAGGCACCGCGCCACTGCATGGACGAGGCACAGGGCAGCGCGGGCAGGAGGTGGCGGGCGGAGGAGGAGAGCTCACCGGGGCGAGCCAACACATCAGTATCATCATCGCATCATGAGACCTGTGACTGGGCACGCAGGAAGAGGTGACGGAGACACCGTGTAGATGTCGAAGGCAGGTCAGCAGCGGCAGAAACGAGACGGGGAAGCGCGCGGACAAGAAGCGATGGGAAGCAGGAGGAGCGAGAGACGAGGGGAGACGTTTTTGCCTCCAGACCGACGGCGAGCCACGCAGAATGCAGCGCGCAGGCGGCGCCGCGCGAAAGTGCCTGGGAAGTCCTCGCCGACGCGGTCTGGTCATCCCGAGGGAATCCCATCGACGCGCGGGGGTTGTCCACTGCGACTCTGAGTCAACGGATAGCGCCCCCGTACTGCGTGGCGAGGCGTGCGAAAATGGCGCGATCTGGGCGAAATCCCCCGACAGGCGCCGGTCATCCTCTGGCGAGAAATCCCGACGACGAGCTGGAGTCATCCAAGCGTCAGCGACAACCAGCGCGCGCTGCTGGCTCGTGCGGGGCCGCTCCCCAGGTCAGGCCTCGCGGATGAACTCGCTGAAGCCCAGCTCTCTGGCGAGGGCCGTCGCCTCCCTCCTGCGCCGCTTCGTGCGCGCTGCAAACTGCCCCAGCTGCTTCCGCAAGCCCTCCGGCGGCCCTGCCAGGAAGAACTCGATGAGCGGCGCCCGCATGAGCAGGATATCCTCGTGGCGCGTGGCGCGCGAGAGCAGCGCGTAGAGCTCCAGCCACCAGTCGTCGTCCTCCTTTTTGCCGTTCCCGACCTCGTGGCGGCCGCAGTCCAGAATCACGCCTGGGCCGCAGCCATTTGGGCCTTCGGTGGAGCTCCCCATGGGGCCACGAAGCGTGTAAGGGGTGTGCCAAATATGGGGCGGCGGCGGCATGCGGACGCAGCCATTTGGGCCTTAGATGGAGCTCCCTATGAGGCCACGAAACGTGCGAGGGGTGTGCCAAAATTGGGCGGCGGCGGCATGCGGACGCAGCCATTTGGGCCTTCGGTGGAGCTCCCCATGGGGCCACGAAACGTGTGAGGGGTGTGCCAAAATTGAGAGGGCGGCGGCATGCGGACGCAGCCATTTGGGCCTTAGATGGAGCTCCCTATGGGGCCACGAAACGTGTGAGGGGTGTGCCAAAATTGGGTGGCGGCGGCATGCGGACGCAGCCATTTGGGCCTTCGGTGGAGCTCCCTATGGGGCCACGAAACGTGTGAGGGGTGTGCCAAAATTGGGTGGCGGCGGCATGCGGACGCAGCCATTTGGGCCTTCGGTGGAGCTCCCTATGGGGCCACGAAACGTGTGAGGGGTGTGCCAAAATGGGTGGCGGCGGCATGCGGACGCAGCCATTTGGGCCTTAGGTGGAGCTCCCTATGGGGCCACGAAACGTGTGAGGGGTGTGGCGGCGGCATGCGGACGCAGCCATTTGGGCCTTCGGTGGATGCGTGTGAGGGGTGTGCCAAAATGGGGTGGCGGCGGCATGCGGGCGCAGCCATTTGGGCCTTAGATGGAGCTCCCTATGGGGCCGCGAAACGTGTGAGGGGTGTGCCCAAATTGGGTGGCGGCGGCATGCGGACGCAGCCATTTGGGCCTTCGATGGAGCTCCCTATGGGGCCACGAAACGTGTGAGGGGTGTGCCAAAATTGGATGGCGGCGGCATGCGGACGCAGCCATTTGGGCCTTCGGTGGAGCTCCCTATGGGGCCACGAAGCGTGTGAGGGGTGTGCCAAAATTGGGTGGCGGCGGCATGCGGACGCAGTCATTTGGGCCTTCGGTGGAGCTCCCTATGGGGCCACGAAACGTGTGAGGGGTGTGCCGATGATGATGATGATGATGATGGTGATGATGATGACCGACAACCACGATGTGGATGATGATGATGACGATACTCATGATGATCCCAAGCTCCCGTCTCTTTCTCAGCCAGACAACCTCGAGGTCTAAGAAGTCGAGCCTCCGCGAGCACCAGAACGATTGAAGCGGCCCTCCATGAGGCCGCGACCGAATCACGTCAAGCACCTGCTGCGTGAAACCAGACGCAAGCTGAAAACTCTGAATCAGGGGTGGAGGACGGGGGAAGGGAGGTGAAGCTTGAGCCACCGCAGTTGCGGCGAACGCACGTTGAAACAAGTTTGCCTGCTCGACTGCTGTTTAAACACTGTTCGGGGTCGACTGGGGGTCGAGCGGCTGACATCCGACGAGGCGCACAGGATTCACGTACAAGTACAAACCATCGCGAGCTCCCGTCTCTTTCTCAGCCAGACAACCTCGAGGTCTAAGAAGTCGAGCCTCCGCGAGCACCAGAACGATTGAAGCGGCCCTCCATGAGGCCGCGACCGAATCACGTCAAGCACCTGCAAAAACTGTTGACTCCAAAACAGCAGACTGGCCAGAGCCGCATAACCTTTTACTGCATAAAGCGCCCAAAGGACTCCCCGAGACATTTGGCCCAAGTATTGTAATAAGCGTCCGCGATAGCTTTACACAACCTTTTAGGGTAGGGTTCAGCAAGCTTGGTGTAGAAATTGCCGGCCTGGTCTTTGCCCTGGAGCTGCTGATGGGGAAGACTGGTACGCTTACAAATGCCTCTCTTACTCCCAACACATCTGGCCGCCTCAAGCTCGGCCAGGTCAAGATCGTAGCACAAGAAAGTGGTACTCTTCTTCCAGGGCACCCCCCATTGACAGAAATCGGTGGTGACAACAGTGGTGCCCTGAGCACGGGAGAGAGGCCCATAGGCTCCGAATCGCTTCGGAGCCTGGGGGGACCTGGGGGGATGTCTCGGGCCTGGCTGAAGGACGAGCACGGCGTGGCCACATGGGCGCCAGCCACCAGCCCGGCCCTCACCCACCCGAGGAGAAGGAGGCGATTGCGCTTGCACCTAAGGTCGTACGTCTCGCCGAGGCTAATGTCCCACAGCAGGGCGGTGACACCTACCCTCGAGATCGCTTCCGAGAGGTGGCCGCTGCCCGAGAAGACTTCGACGAAGACACGCTGCCGGAGGCGAATGGTACAGGACAACGCCGGCCAGACACCACCTCGCTCAGCAGCTCGACGCAAAGTTTGCCGTGGGCCTGAAGCACCGGCCCGAGCTTGTGAACGACCTGACCCAACCTGCCCCCCTTCTCGTAGCGCCGGACCGAGGACCACGAACGCAAGCGCCCGCGCCGGCGCACGTCCTCCAAGCGGCGGCAGCCCGAGGCGTAGTCGTGCGAGGCGCCGCCGTGCCGCAGCATGTACATGTGGGCGGCGCCCAGCGCGGTGTCCACCCCCAGCGTCTCGACGGCCCCCTTGAAGTCCCTCGTCACCTCGTCGAGCGACACGGTGAACAGCGGCGCTGCCAGGTGCAGGCCGGAGCCGACGTGCCTCTGCTCTGCGCGCCGCCAGTCTGCGCCCAGCTGGTGCTTCAGCATCAGGTCGAGCGCGGGCCCGATGAAGGACTGCCGGCTGAGATCCAGAGAGAGGCTCTCGTCGAACTCGCCGGTCTTGGACTCCCTCTCGGTCTCGGCAGCATGGAGAGTCACGCACCAGTGGGACGCTCCGCTGACCCTGGCCACGGGCGGGACGAGGTCCACCGCCCTGATGTGGAACGCCTCTCCGGGCCTCAGGTACAGCTCGAAGATGAGAAGGACGGCGAGCGCACTCTGGTAACGCTGTCGGGCCAGGAGCTCCATCACCACCATCGCCACTACCATGTAGGGCATCGGCAATCGAGATCGTGGTGGTGCGAGCTTGCGAGAGCCCTGGAGGGCGCGGCGCGACCGAGGCATCAGCGCGCCCGACGCTTTGTTCAGGCCGGTGAAGAAGGTCACCGCCGCATACGCCCAGGACCCCGCACTCAGGTCCTCGCCGCCCAGGTAGAGGTCGTCCAGCCACTCCGCGATCGCCTGGTCCACAAGGTCCTCGGTCGTCAGACGACGGCCGTTCGCCCACGCCAGGAAGTCGGCGAAGATCTCCTGGTAACGGTCCCGCGTCCTCGGCTTGATGGACGCCGCCTCCAGCACCGTCATGCCCGGCAGCCGCGCTGCTGTGGACCGCCGAGCCGCAGCCCGCGAGGCTCGCTGGCTCACCTTGCGGCGCTTGGGCCCAACCGAGCCCGGGGGGGCAGCTGAGGCGGCCGGCCGTCGCCGCACGAGACGCTGCTGGCGCACCGCCGGCACTCGGAGACATGCTGACGACGTAGGCCGGCTCGAGGTCGGCGCCGACGCCATGCGCGGCGGCCTGCCCAGCGCCAGCGGAGCGGCCCCATCCGCCTGGGATCCGCGTGCCAGCAGTCCCGTCGGCAGCGCCTGCACCAGCGCCACCGCGCTGGCGGGCACTGGGGCCGCGCGCGCGCGAGCATCGCGCGGGGCCAGCGCCGAGGGCGCTGCGGGTCGCCAACGCCCCCTTGAGGGTCCGTCGGCTGAGTTCCACTCGGAGGGGAGCCAGCGGTAGTGGAGAGAGGAGCCTGTCGCCAGGGAGAGGGCGGCGATGCTCTGCGTCACGTACAGCATCGCACGGCTCCCACTGCGGCTCTTAGACACAGCTCCCGCCACACTCATCGAATCTCCCAAAACAACGAGACGTTTACCGTGATCCCGACGACTACGCAGAAGATGCCTGTAGCCGCACAGGGTAGCGCGGGCCTCCAGGACCGGGATGCTCTCGCCCTTCTTCCGCCACTCGAAACGGCCCACCACCCTCCAATCCTGCTCAATCATTTCCCTGGGAACTTCAGGAAAATCATCGGCTCGGGGTAGACGCCCAAACCCGTAGATGTCCCCGGGGGCCCCAGCATCAAGATCATTGCGAGCAGGTTCCTGGGTGTCGTCGGGGCCGCACATCCAAGGGGCGGCCTCCTCGGCGGACCCTTCAAGGGCCGCCGCCGCGGCAGCATCGCGAGCCCAGCGCCCAGCATGGCGACGAGGACCCCCAAAAGCGCCCCCACGACCCCAACGCCACCTCTCGGATGCGCGGCCGACCTGGGAACAGTGCGAGGATCCGCAGCGGCTCGAGCAGGCCCCGAGGCCCCACTCGCTGGCATCAACCGCGACAACCTCGTCCCCCCAAGCGGCCCGAAGATCGCGAGAAAGGAGTGGAGAGATAGAGTCCCAGATACTGAGCTCACGCCGAACAGAGGCCCACAAGGCAACGTCGCTGTCGTAATGCTTGTGAATAAATCCATAACAACTCCAGAACAAACTGAGGCCCTCCCGCCAAACCAAGGAGATGAAAACCAGGTGCCCGAGAAGCTTTTCAACATCTCGACCTTTGGCCCGACCACGAGCGAGAAGAGCACGAATAGCAAGCCGAGCGCGCCGCAGACGATCCGGGGAAGCAAGGAGTCGCCCACTCCCCCGATCGATGACCCAACCCAGCAACTTGGCAGCAGTACCCTCCTCCCCGCCATGATCCTCCTCATGAACGACGAGTCCCCGACTTTCCAGAGCGGTGATGGCACACGACGCCGAATTTTTCACGTTGTCCCGGTTGGTCGAGATCGCAATGTAGTTGTCCACATACTGCGTGTGGCACGGCTGGCTGAGGTCTGGAGCGCACGTCTTGTCGGTGATCCTAAACTTGGGGTCCGAGCCAGCTGCCTCGACTATCCTCTCGTGTATATTCTGGCACATCCATAAAGCCCAAGACCATCCCATGGGAATGACAGCGAGCCTAGGGTATACCTTCTCATGTGCAGCCACTGCTCGACCCCCAATCTCTGTGCACCCTACAGACGCAGCCCGCACAGGCCGAAAAGTGGAATACTTTCTAAGGGGTTTGGGGAGCCCCATGTGGTAAAACGCATCACTCAAATCCGCACCACCAACGAAGATATCTTCGTCGGCTCCCAGCTCGATGGCGGCAAGCCCTTCACCAGTGCAGAGCGAGACACCACCGGCCTCAGTGAAATGACAGTTTGAACGCCTGCAGTCTACGACAAGCCTGAGCTTGCCGTTCTTTTTGGTCACAAAAAACGGCTCCAGTCGCGTGCGGCCAACGCCGACATGAATTCTTCAAAGGCTCGAGGGTGCCTAAGCTTGGGATCGGAGTAGGGAGTGAGCACGCCTGACGAACGGAGTCGGGCTCGCGACTGTTCCAGCGGAGCGACATTCAAGCGGCAGAAGTCCTCTACCATGTGGCACCCGCCCTCGCCCCAAAGCTCAGGCACAGGCACAGGCCTGACGTCGCCTGAAGGCAGTGAGACGTCGGCGAAAGAGTAGCGACCGAGCGTAGTACTGTCCACGTCGCACCAGCTCGCCACGCGAAGCTTCCTGAGAGCTTCAGCGGGGGAGGCCCCCGCAGGTGGAGGGCCGAGGTCGCGCACGGCGCGTCGGACACGATCCAGCGCGCCGGCCTGACCGGCAGAAAAAAGATGATAGGATCCGCACTTGGCGCCCCGCTCGGGCCCCTTGCCCGGGGAGGTGCGGTCGCGGGGCTGCGGCTGATGAGTGTAAAGCGAGTTAAGGCCCCAGAGCGCACGGTCAACTTCGCGCTCTTCGGCCTGGCGCCTACACAACCTCTGCCGCGTGCCACGAGACATCTCATTAGCCCGCGCCTGGTCGACCCTGAAAACCTCAGGACGAGGAAGGGGGAACAACTCACGCGGCACTTGACGGCTCGGGTCATGCATCCAGTCTTCCCAAGAAGAGAGGGGGGGGGGCGACGGAGGCAAGGAGGGGGGGGCTAATTGACAAGCTTCGCTCGTGTGCCCTGGGGCCTGGCTCACAGGATCACTCGAAGGTCGGGATAGCACGGGCACGCCTGCATCAGGCGGGCCGCGCGGAGCTGAGGGTCCCGTCATGCCCACAGCCCGCGCAACCGGATGTAGCCTCGAAGAAAGGCTTTCACCCGGCGTCCTTCTTGGTCTTATCCTTGGCCCGGGCAGCCTCCCGCTCCTCTCGGGCCTTGCGCAAGTTCTTGGCAAGCGAGGCCTCGCGCTCGACCTCGCCCCGCACGTAATCCAGCAAAAGGGGGCAGATCATCAGGGAGCCGCCTGCGCGGGCGGTGCCCGCAAAGGCCATCTGCTCCTCGAGGCTGAGCTCCCCCCCGTAGCCCTTGGCCTCCTGCTCGCGAGCCCGCTCGGAGTGCGCGAACTCGATCGTTTGAAGTCGGCGAAACATGGACTCCACCATCATCAGATTGGTGCCGTCCACCTGGTCGTGAAGCAGGCCGAACTTCAAGGCCTGCGTGATATTGCAATGCTCGGACACGCCCCAACTCGAGAACTCCAGCTTGCAAAGAACGCGGAACCTCTCGTGGTGCCCGTCGAGCCCGAGCCCCTCGTGGTTGATGAACTCCAGGCACCACAGCACGGACCTTGGCCCGGGCAAGTCCCAGTCGTTGGTGAACTCCTCCTGCACCACGGCCGCGACCATCTCCGCCCAGGTGCGCTCGCGCCGCCCCTGGCGGTTGCGTCGCACTGCCATGATGCGAGCGTCGCCGAACACCCCCTTGTCGAGGAAGGCGACCTCAGTCGCGGCCGTCACCTCTTCGACGAACAGGGCGGTCCCGTCCGGCAAGAGGTGGAAATCCTTCGAGCCGATTGCCTGGGCGCTCCGCACGTGGCCAGGGACAGGGTCACCAAATCGGAAGCCGCCCCCGCTCTCAGCCGCCCTCCAAGCGGTGCCGACGCCTGCTGCAGGCGCTGCCGGCGCGACGCCCTGCAGGGGCCCCACCAGCAGGGGCGGGGGCGCGGCCGCCGCCGCGGGGGCACCGGCGGCGCCGGCTGCGGCAGGCTCGGCCACTCCCGGCGCAGGTGGAGCGCCCGGAGCGCCGGCGCCTGCAGGCACGATGGCCCCAGCCCCGCCGGCACCGCCCACTAGCCGGCCCGCGGCGTCGATCGGCAACAGCCACACGAAGCCCGCCGGCGGCGCCGCGCCGCCCGCCGCTGCCAGCAGGCGCCGACCCTCCGCCTCAGCCTCGTCCTCGGCAGCCTGCCGGAAGGCGGCGTCCCGCGCGGCCGTCGGCTCCCGCCGGAAGCGGTACACCCGATCCCTGGCCACCCCGGCAGGCAGCTCACGATACTCGCTGCGCCAGCGCACTGCCAGCACGTCCTCCGAGGTCGGCGACCAGTCCTCCGGGTAGACATGGGCGTCGGCGGTGGCGGCCACGTAGGTCTTACCACCCGAGTGTGCCACCACCCCGTGCACCCGGCGCTGGTGCCAGAGCGGCTGGCCTTCCACGTTGTACAGGACGTAACTCCAACTCATCTTCGCTGATCGCGTCCTTCACGGGCCTGCGGCACAGCCGGCGCAACAGCCCGCCAACGGCAAGCCCTCCAGTCGCCAGGACGCTGCCCACCACGACGCCGAGGAGGAAGATCAGGTACGCGAGGTAGCCCAGCCCAGGCTTGGCGCAGCCCGCGGCCTCCTCGCGAGCGCCAGCCGCCTCGGCGAAGGCGGCAGCCCCTGCCGGCACCGTGAACGGTCGGCAAGCTGGGCACGCCGGGCACGCCGGCACCACACAGTCCCTGCAGGTCAGCCCTGGGCAGGACGGACACGTCGCCTGCGGGCAGGCGGGGATGGCAGGGCAGCGCGCCGCGTAGTTGACGACGCCCTGGGCCAAATACTCGGGACCCCTCTGGAGCAGCCAGTCCCACATGCGCAGCGCTCGGGACGGCGGCACGAGCCTTTGAAGCTTGAGCCACCGCAGTTGCGGCGAACGCATGTTGAAACAAGTTTGCCTGATCGACTGCTGTTTAAACACTGTTCGGGGTCGACTGGGGGTCGAGCGGCTGACATCCGACGAGGCGCACAGGATTCACGTACAAGTACAAACCATGAGCATGATGAGGATGGTGATGATGATGGGAGGAGGGGGGAGGGGGCAGCGGGAGGAGGAACGCGGGGCACCGTCTCTTCAAAACGAGGACCCAACACCACAGGATGGTTGGGAAAAAATAATAGAAAACTCGTCCCCTGACTAATTTTTACTACTTTTAAATATTCCTCCTGTAGGAGGGACGTGCTCGACTTAAGATTAGGAGGCTGCGTGACTGCACGGGGGGGATTCGGGGAATCGGCAGCTCGTGGGGTGCGGTTGCGAGGTCCCCCACTGGTGGTGTGTCAGGTCGGGCGGGCGGGAACACAGTGGGCGACTTGCCCCGGGGGGGGTCGCAGAGATACGGAGGGGGTGGTGTGTCTGTGTGTGTGTGTGCTGTAGTGCTACGTCAGCGGGCTTACTGGAGCTCTTCATAGGCCTACGCTCTGCTCCTGAGGCCTGTGCGTCGGGGCGGGTTGGCGGTACAATTGATCCTTGCCGGTGTCCAGGCCGCACGGCCGGGTCAGGAGTGCCGCATTGGGGGCTGTCGGTATGGGGAAACCCAAAAGTACTGATACCGCTACTCCACGGACCTCTCCCGGAGTGCGTTCTAACCAGAATTTCGAGGCGAATCCAGCAGCGGCGACGAGGGCATCCCAGGAGGCCGAAAAAGGGGAAAACGGGGGAAGTCTAGCGGTACAGATACCTTGTCCTCCTCTGACGCTAGGTCGTGTGTCGGGGGAACCAGCGGCGTCTCCGGCGAACCCAGGCGAAACCCTCCGCAAATTGGCCCTTCCCTGGAGGTCCGCGACCCCTCTCCGTCGTTTTTGTGTCGGTTGGTGCAGGGCATACTGCGCCGGTGAGCGTGGCCTTGGGCGGCTGCCCACGCTACACGGCGAAGCGCTTCAACCCCCCGCCTCCTCCTCCTCCTCCTCCTCCTCCTCCTCCTCCTCCTGCTCCTCCTCCTCCTCCTCCTGCTCCTCCTCCTCCTCCTCCTCCTCCTCCTCCTCCTCCTCCATCCCCCCTCCTCTTCCTCATCCTGACGCTGCGGGCCTCGCGCGGTCTCTATTCCTCCTCCTGCTCCTCCTCCCCCTCCCCCTGCTCCATGTCCTCCTTCCTCTAAGACTCGGGACCACAAACACATTCGGGGTGGACACGTCGGGTGTCGTCATTGTAGGAGCGGCGGTAATCACTGACTCTCCACTCCAATCAGCCTGTTGCATCGCATTCTCAGTGTGGGTCTTAATATCTTCTGCGGCTCCCTGAATCGTGGTGGCCAGAGAAGAGGCATCACTCTCGTCTGCGACGAGAATCGAGAAGCGAGTCGTCACAGAGATCGCAACTGTGTCCGAGAGCTGGCGGACAACTTCGGAGAGCCGACGGGCATTCAGGATGAAATCCGTAATTGTAATGTCGGACTCAGGCACAGACAGAGCATTCGCCAAACCTGTTGTTTTAGCGGCCTTGTAAACAGTAGAAGACATGAGTTCTGTTGAAGTAACACCTGCTGGAAGAGTTTCATCCGACGTGTACTCGGCAGTCACCACAACCTTGTCTCGAGTTATGAGCACGGCAACACAACAGCACTGCATGTTGAAGACAAGTGGCTATAATATAAAGATAACCACAAATATATTACAAGGTCAGACATACGATCGAAATGCGCAGTTGGCTTGGGATCAACATTGCCCACAATTCCGGCAGTGACAACTGCATTTTTCATTTTACAAGTTTGAACACCTATGCGTTAGATGACAAGGACGCTGGGGAGGGGAGGGGCACCGCTTTCGGTTTGCGAAAGCCGCGCGTCCACGCTGATACATACACTAGCACGGTCGACAGGCTAATCCACACATGTTCTCACATACGCAGATATACAGACAACCATGCTTACATGTTGACATGCACGTTTACACATAAGTGCAACTATACCTATGCTAAAAACATGTGCGTGCTTCGCGCGCGCATAGGTTCTAGCAAACCCTGGCCTTTGACAAACTCACACATGCACGCATGTACGTGCCCACATACGGCTTGACCATGAAAGCCGTAAGTTGCAGTAATCCGGACCAAGCAGGGACGCAGCACTGACAAATGAACATCTTTCCAAATCCAATGCGAAGCCACACATGCAAAGCAAAACAAAGCAAACTGGTGAAATTGACGCGACGTGCTGGGTTAGCACTGCCAGGCAATGCGTTGCCATGGAAAGCAGATGGTCTGGCAACGCAGCGCAATGCGAAGCAACACAAAGCTCGGCAGGGAAGTCACAAAGTAACCGATAAGCGCTGCAGCGTGGTGCAAGCGAAAGTCCGCCGGCCCCCGGTTGCCTGGGGTGAAAAGGTGTGCGAGGTGATCGGCTGTCACCCCATCCGCTCTACCCTCAGGTCGGGCATGTCCTCCTACAGGCGGATTGTGGACGACAAAAAAAGAAGTAGCCAACAAATGATCAAACATGATCAGAAAGCATCGACGAATCGTTCCATATAGTTTTTAACTATTCGGGGCTCTTCCTCCTGTAGTGGGACACGCCCGACTTCACTCTACCTCCACATAAAAACGGGTCTTGCGCAATATGTCATTACGACCTTACGCAGTGGCCTGCGTGGGCCGCCAGCCCGGCACGCTGCATAGGTAGCGAGGCCGCTCACGCGCGACCTGACGCGGGCAACGTACGCGACAGTGTCGGCGCAGTCGGCCCCGTTTTCCTCCGGCGCCCACGTGGGGTCAAACTCCCCTTTGGGAAGCAGCTCGGCTGGCGGGCCCTCGGCGAGGGCGGTTTTGGCGGGGCATCGCCAAGGTCGGGGAACTCCTCCCCGAGAGGGGGGGCGCATCCGTGTCCGCCTCTGGGAGGGGAGGCGCAGCGCGCTCGGGGCTGGAGTCTTCATGACCCGCCGCTCGCTGTGCGGCGTGCTATCCTTTGGAGCGGCGTTGGCTGCCGCGGCTTCGTCAGCGCTCGAGCGCACAGCCTCGCGGCCGTCGCCGTCGCTGTGCGATATGTGTGGCGTTGCTGGGCCGCGTGGTGGTGATCCAGTGGGGGCCGGACGCTGCCGGGACGCAACCGAAGGGGCGCCCGCGCGCACTCGCACTTCACCAGCCGCGCAGCGAGGCGCCGTCCCGCTTGGTGCCACGCGCCGACCGCTGCGCGAACATCGTCTGCCGAGAACGATGCCGACCGTGTCGTCGGTGGCGTCGTTGGTTGGCCTCGAGCACGCGGCCGCGGCGCCGTCGTTGACAGCACGCGCAGCACCGCGTGGCGCGGTGCCGGTGGGGGGCGCGCAGGGCTCCGAGCCTTGGCGCGGCGCCTGGTGGGCAATCTCTGGGGTGCAAATCCCCGTGGTGTGCCTGCCACGACGACGACGACGACGACGACGACGACGACGACGACGACGACGAGGAGGAGGAGGAGGAGGAGGAGGAGGAGGAGGAGGAGGAGGAGGAGGAGGAGGAGGAGGGGGACGAGGAGAAGGACGAGGAGGAGGAGAAGGCAGAGGAGGCGGAGGCCGCGCCCATGGCCGCACTCCGGGCTCCAGCCGCGCCCTGGGCCACCCCACCCTCGACTGGGAGGCCGCCGCGCTCGGCCGCGCGGGGGGAAGGGCCCAGCGGTTCCAGCCAGTGGGGCTCAAACCGCACTCGGGCCGCGCGCAGGGCCCCGGATGGTCACCATCCGTCCCCTCGCCGCCCATACTCGGCGGCGAACGAGGGGGGGGGGGAGTGAAAAGGAGAAGGCCTTCACAGAAGGCGGCGGGAGTTCTCAGAAACCCTACGGCCTTCTGCGTCTCCGGGGAAGGATCTGGAAACTTCTCAGAAGACTGGGGGACTTCCGAGCCTTCTGAGAAGGCCTTCTCCTTCTCGCTTCCCCCCCTCGCTCGCCGCCGTCCATACTGCCTCGGGCGGTGGAACGCCGAACCCCGCTGTGGCTTCGGTGTTGCGTCGTGAACTGTTGGTCGGCAGTACGTCGCTCAGACCCGAGGGCGCCCATGGCGGCTTGGCGCTCCGCGGGCCAAGATGGCCGTCAAGACGGCCTCAAGATGACCTCAAGATTGCCTAAGGCGGCCCTATAAGCCCGCAAGAGGCCTCCAAGACGGCCCAAGAGCCCTCCAAGACGTCCTCCAGAAGGCCCGAAAGGGCCAAAACACATGTCTTGTCATTAAATTGTTGAAGGATTTTGGCATGTTCTTCTTTTCAGCTCTCCGACGGCCCAAGACGGAGCAGGAGGCCCCCAACATCGACCCAAGAGCGCCAAAGAGGCCTCCAAGATGGCCCCGTGACAGCCCAAGGGACCCCTAAAAAGGCCCCAAGACGGCCCAAGAGGCCCCCAAGACGCCCAAGATGGCCTCGAAGACGTCCCAGATGGCCTCCAAGATGCCTCCAAGACGGCCAAGAAGGGTGCCGAGCACAAGAGATTCTACACGGTTTTGGTTCTTTTAGAAAACTCCCTGGGGCTTCGGCCCGTCCCGCCAGGGTCCCGGAGAGCCGCACAAGACTGGAATTGTCGTAAAGACTTTTCTAAAGACCGCCAAGATGGCTTTCAAGACCGCCAATATGGCCCAAGATGGTCTCCAAGATACCTCCAAGATGGTTAAGATGGCCTTCAACACAACTCAGATGGCTCCACAATGCCTCCAAGACGGCCCAAGATGGACCAAGAGGCTCCCAAGAGGCCTCCAAGACGGTCCCAGAGGCTCTCAAGAGCTGCTCCAGGAAGGCCCGCAGAGGTCAAAATCTATCATGTTCCTTGGGTTTTTGAAGGATTTGGGCTTTTGCGCTTCTTCGGCCTTCCGACTGCCCAAGATGGCCCAAGAGGCCCCCGTGGTCACCCTGGGATCGCCCAAGATGCCTCCAAGATGGTGATCTGCTGGCCCAAGAGGCTCCCAAGACGGCCCTAGGAGGGCACCAAGACGGCCCAAGAGGCGTCCAAGACGCTCGCGATGGTCTCCAAGACGCCCCAGATGGCCTCCAAGATGCCTCCAAGACAGGCGAGATGATCTCCAAGATGGCCAAGATGGCCGCTAAGACGGCCAAAATTACCCAAGATGGGCCCGAGAGGCTTCTAAGATGGCCGCAGAGGAATACAAGAGGTGCTCGAGGAAGGCCCGAAGGAGCCAAAATCGTAAATTGTCATTGGGTTTTTCAAAGATTTTGGCTTTTCCTCCGTTTTGGTGTCCCGACCGCCCAAGACGCCCAAGGAGTCCCAAAGACCGTTCCAGAGGCCTCCAAGATGGCTCCAGAACGGTCCAAGAGGCCCCCAAGCCAGCCCCAAGGGGGCCCCAAGACGGCACAAGAGGCCTCCAAGACGCCCAAGATGGCCTCCAAGACACCTCAAGACATCTCAAGACTGCCAATATGACTTCCAAGACGGCCAAGATGCCCTCCAAGACGGCCAAGATATCCCCAAGAGGGCCGAAGGTGGCCCAAGATTGTCCCAAGATGCTCCCAAGACGGCCTCGGAGGCCTCCAACAGGTGCTCCTGGAAGGGCCGAAGAACGCAAAATCAATGATTTTGCTAAGGTTTTTGAAGGATTTGGGCATTTCCATCTTTTCGGCCTTCCGACGGCCCAAGATGCCCTCAAGCTAGCTCCAAGATCGCCCAAGATGCCTCCAAGATGACGCCGTGACGACCCAAGAGGCCCCCAAGACGTTCCCAAGACGGTCCCAAGAGGCCTCCAAGACGCCCTAGATTGCCTCCAAGACGGCCCGGAAACGCCCAAAGAGGGCCCCAAGCCCCTCCAAGACGGCTTCCAACGGCGTCAGACGGGCCAGGAACGCCCTAAGACGGCCAAATAAGCCTTCAAAGAGCCCGCAGAGGCCCCCAAGAGGCCGAAGGAGGCTCCCCAAGAGGCCTTCAAAAGGCCTCCAGGAAGCTCCCAGAAGTCCCCAAGAGGCCACAAGAGTGCCCCAAGAAGCTATCCAGAGGCCTCCTCCTCCCTCCTTTTTTTCTCCTCCCTCTCCTCCCCTTCTTCTTTCTCCCCCACGTGTTCCCCGAAGGCTTTCCAAACCAACTCGGGGAACACATGGTCCGATAGCATGGCCAAGCTCTAGCCCAATTTTCGGCCACATAGGTGCTTCCAGAAAGGCAGGGGGCGGCGGTGATTCGCCGTAGGCGTCTTCGATCCGCCGCCCCCTGTTGATTCATCACAGGGGTGCCTGGCGTGCTAGATCCTTTCGGTTTTGGTTTTGGTTCTTTTTCCCAAAGAACTCCCCCTGGATCTTCGGCCCGTCCCGCCGGCCACCCGAAGGGCGCATAATTCTCCCAAAAACTCTCCCAAGACGGCTCAAGATGGCTTTCAAAACTGCCCTGATGCTGATGGCCCAAGATGGCCTCCAAGATGCCTCCAAGACGGCCAAGATGGCCTCCAAGACGGCTCAGATGGTCCCAAGATGCACCCAAGACGGCCCCAGATAACCCCAAGTTGGCCTAAGACGGCCCAAAAGGTCCAGAAGAGGCCTCCAAGAGGCCCACGAGCGCTCCAAGACGTCCCCCAGGAAGGTCCGGAAGGGCAAACATCATTGACTTGTCTTAGGTTATCTTAGGTTTGTGACAGATTTTGGCATTGTCTTCTTACGTAGCCCACCGCAGATGCGGATAAGAGTGAGAGGGCGGTGGGGACGTCAGCAATTTGCGAGACTCTGGAGAAGCCCGCCGCAGGCGCCGAAGTTGGACAAATTGTGCAACGAGCCCGCCGCAGGCGGGTCGCACGTGGGTCGCAAATGGGTCGCGGGTGGGTCGCGGGTGGGTCGCTGTTGGGTCGCGGGTGGGTCGCGGGTGTAGAGGGCAGAAAATCAACCCCATAATAATCACCCCGACAAGCGACGCCGTTTCGTAAACGCACACAAGAGAATTAATCGAGCAGGCCAGGGCTGATTAGTAAACGCCCAGGGCCATTTAGTAAACGTGAATTGTCGGGTCCTCCCTCTGATCAGCTCTCCGACGGCCCAAAACGGCCCAAGAGGCCCCCAACATCGTCCCAAGAGCGCCGAAGAGGCCTCCAAGATGACCCCATGACAGCCCAAGAGGCCCCCAAGAGGGCCCCAAGATGAGCCCAAGACGGCCCAAGATGGCCCCGACGACGCCGAAGATGGCCTCCAAGACGGCCAAGATGGCCCCCAAGATGCATCCGAAACGGCCAAGAAGGCCTCCAAGACAGCGAAGATGGCCCCAAGATGCCTCCAACACGGCCCCTCGTTCTCAGTCGTGCTCCCTCCCTCGATCACATCCTGCAAGTCAAGGTGGGGGCTCCTCGGAGAACTCAGTCGAAACGACCGATGATCTGGAATCGCTGCCTCTCGCCCGCCGCGACTGCTGTGGGCGATAGGCGCAAACCATTTCTTGGGCCCAAGCGCCAGCGCAGTCGGCAGGCATGTCAGCAGTGAAACCAGGGAAGACGGGTTTTACCCCTCCCGTATTCACACTCATATCATTTTCTCTGAAGGTGTTTGGCATTTCCGCCGTTTCGGCCTTCCGACGGCCTTCCGACGGCCCAAGAGGCCGCCAAGATCGCCCCAAGAGGCCTCCAAGATGGCTCCATCACGGCCCAAGAGGCCCCTAAGACGGCCCCAAGAGGGCCCCGAGACGGCCCAAGAGACCTCCAAGTTCAAGATACTCTCCAAGACGGCCCTGAAGCGCCCAAAGAGAGCCCCAAGTCGGTTTAGAGAGGCCCCCAAGACGGCTTCCGACAGTGGCAGACGGGTCGGGAACGCCGTAAGACTGCCAAAGAGGCCCCCAAGAAGCCCCCAAAGGCCTCCAAGACGCCCCCAAGAGGCCCAAGGAGGCTGCCAAGAGGCCTCCAAACGGCCCCCAGGAAGCTCCGCAGAGGCCTCCCAAGAGGCCTCGTAAGACGGTTGACAAGAAGTCTCCTCCTCCTACTCATCCTCCTTCCCCATCATCCTCGTCCTCATCCTCATCCTCCTCCTCCTAATCCTCCTCCTCCCTCTCCTGATCCCCCTCCTATTGCTCCCCCACGCGTTCCCCGAAGGCTTTCTGGCCCAATAGCTTGGCCAAGCTCTAGCCCAGCTGTCGGCCACACAGGCGCTTTCAAAGGGGCAGGGGGCGGCGGTGATTCGCCGTAGGCGTCTTCGATAACGCCAACGTGTCAATTTGCGCTGATGATTCCTATTCGCCCCCGCATGATGTTCCACGATGCGCCAAGGCAGCGCCGAGACGCACCGACGCGACTCTGATATATCTCATTATTATAGAGAGGGGGCCGGCGGCAGGGGGCGAAGCCCTTACGGATATAGAATCATTGGGAACCCTCATGTGTCTTAAGGGAACCGAAACCTTGACGAATCTGGAACCGTTGGTGAACCATCGGGATCGCTTGGGGTCTCCAGGAATGCGTAGGAATCCTTCTGGGTCTCTGTCTTGGGCCGTCTTGGGGCCCTCTCGGGTCGTCCTGGGCCCCTCAGAGACTCTCTTGGGCCCACTTGAAGCCGTCTTGAGCTATCCTGTCCATCGTTGGACTCTCTTGAGGTTCTGTTGGAGCGTTTTTTGGCCCCCCTGGCTCCCCCAAGACCCTCTTGGAAACATCTTGAACCAGACAAAAGTTAAGTCATAGTTTGGGAAGTCCTCAGGCTTTGACTGACTTTGGCCGCCTTTGTATCCTTGCGTCGGCCCCTCTTGGCCCGTCTTGGAAGCATATTGGGGCCCTCGTAGGCTGTCTTGAGGCCCTCTAACATGTTAGTGACGCTGTCCTGTAGCTATCTGGCCCCCAACCCCGCCCCCCCAGCTCCCTCCTGGCACCCCCATGGACGCCCTACCCTGGTACACCCAAGTGGCTCCAAGAAGGCTCAAGAGACCTCCAAGACAACCCAGAGAACTGCCACTGCAGCCCCCTGGTACGATGAGGCGTTCCTCCTCCTCCTCCTCCTCCTCCTCCTCCTCCTCCCCCTCCTCCTCGGTAGAATGAGAAATGCTCTCTGGTAGGCTTTCTGCAGTCTTCTCGGGGACACCCCTGGACCGCGCTGGAACCTCCCTGGATCTCCTCGGAGCTCTCGAAGCCCCTCCAAGGCTCCCAAGACAGCCACGGAAGGCCACCAAGGCGGCCAAGACGGCACAAGATGCATCCAACACGGCCAAAGAAGGCCCTCAGACGGCCCAAGATGGCCTCAAGAAGGCGCAAGAAGCACCCAACACGGCCCAAGAGGGCTCTAAGAGGACCTCCAGGAGGGCTCGAAGAGGTCAACAATATTGATAGGTGTTCTCCAAATGCCTGATGGAGTTTCTCGTTCTAGCCTTTCGAGCTTCCATCGGCCCATGACGGCCCAAGGGGCCCACAGCCAGCCCGTATCACAAGGATGCGCTCAGGATGCAAGGGCCTTGGACGCTCATTTCGAAGCTTTTCGAGCGGAGCGTGGCCAACGTAAGTGGCGAAGGATGGACCGAGGAGGCAAGAATGCAAGGGTACCCTCGGGAAGGTTGCCCATCCTTACTTTGCGGGTTGACTGTACAAAATGGTCCAAGAGTCATGATGGCCGACGAGGCGCTCAAAATGGCCCAAGAGACAACAATGCCCCAAGACGGCCCAGAGAGGTCTCAAGACGGCCTGACAGAGCCCCAAGACGTCAAAGCCTCACGAGAGCCACATAAGACGGCCCGGCCTTGACGGACTCCGCAGGCGCCAACTACCAAAGGGCGTCCTGAGGCGGCCCAGAGAGCCCCAAAAGTCGCCGAGAGGTCTCCTCCTCTTCCTCCTCCTCTTCCCCAGACGCCCACAAGAGGCCCCGAAGGAACAAGAGGAACGGAAGAAGACGACGACGAACACAAAGAGAGACACCCTAACACGACGCGAAGAGCGTGTCGGTTTAGGGCTCTCCCACGCCTCGTGGCCCCAGGTGTCACACGTTACGGCCTTCTGTTCGCTGCTCGAAAAGTCGTTACCCAAAGCGCTGGCTGCCAATGTTGCGGGGCTTGCCGCAGGCAGCTGAATATCAGGGATACAAGAACTGGGAACTTCAAAATCTGAGAAGGGTTGAAGGGTTGCAACGGTTCTGGGGGGGAAACACATGAGAACAATGGGAAAGAGCGCTCCGAGCCGTAGCCGTTGAACCGCTGCCGCCACATGCACAACACATTTCTGCGGCTGTGAAGTCGGTGTCGTCATAAGAAGAAGAATACTTGCAATACTCATCATAAAACGCCCACCATCGGCAGCCGCCGAGATTGGTCGCGAATGCTACCTCCGAGCTGTCCTCGCAAGCCGCCTGCAATGCTCATTTGTTTATTTCCCGCATGCCAGCGGGCCCCACGCACGAAAGACAGTCATGAGGAAAAGCCGGGAATCGGTCATAGCACCGAGCAGCATCAGAATGGACAGATGTATTACGTCTAGCTGGGAGACCTACGGAGTGTTTGGAGGCACTGTTGCACTTGGGCGATAGCGGCGAGTCCCCTCTCGGGAAGCGTTCCAAGTTTATATTTCCCCATCTTCTGTCCGTTTCCTTTCCTCTTTCCTCAATGTTGGTCGCCCACCCTCCTCCAGAGATTTCTCCTCCTCCTCTTCCTCATGCTCGTTCTGCACCCCCTGGCCCTCATCTTTATGATCCCCCCGCCGGAACTGATCGCGAATGTCTCCCCGAGGCGTCCACGCATCGCCTGCACTGCGAACCTGTTATTTCCCGTATACCAGTGGATCCCACGCACGAGAGACAGTCATAAGGAACAACGAAGAATCTGTAATAACACAAACCAGTATCACATTACATACAACATGCACGTCCAGCTGGGGACGTACTGGAGGTCCTTGACATTGGACGACGACGGCCAAACCCCCGTCGGGAAGCGTTCCGCGTTCCTTATCCTCTCCATCCTCTCTCCGCCATTTATCCTCTTTCCTCCCTTTTCGCAATCCTGCTATCATCGTCGGATGGCATGGCGCGACGCGGCTGGATACAGAGACGATATGGCGGGACACGTTTAGGACATAGTGCGGTGAGACTTCAGTCCCCTGCACCACGCTCCAGGCCCAAGTCCATGGCCAGGGCACGAAGGAGGGCGGGGGAGGGACCGCACCCGCAGAGACCCCTAGTCGTCGAGATAGTGGACAGCGGGCCTACCTCTCGCGGGCTCGAGCCCGCTGACTACCGAATCCGAGCCCGCTGCCCAGTCCTTCTCTTCTCCCATGCTCATCGGCCTGGACCTCCAGCGCACCTGCCGCGCATGCCAGGTAGATGGTCTGGGCGCGGGCACAAGTCTGGGCGCCCCGCCTCCCGCCTCCCTGCCGCGCGCCTTCTTGGCGAGCGGGAGCCGAAACAAAACTGGGAGCCCGTCGGAAACCACACTGGTCTGGGAGAACGAGCCCATCGCTCTCGGGGGCAAGGAAGCAACAGAGGGCCTCGAGAGCCCCCAGGACAGGGGGGCAACACTTCCCCCGCCGTCGTGAAAAAGGAGCCGTCGACTGGCTCCCTTGGATCTGCACTGGCGGCTAGCGTTCAGCGGGTGCTCGTCCTGGCGTCCGCGCTCGTTCGCGTGCCTTTAGACAGCATGTCCTTGAAAGCGGGACTGCCAGCGGCTGGGCCCACCCCTGCAAGAGCATCGCAGAGCGCGCGGGCGCGGGGCCCCATGGCACGCGAGACAGCGTGGCCGACAAAGAATACCTGATGACAGCTAGCTCCACAAAGTTCCTGGGATCAGCCATGGACCCCGTAGTGTTCCTGGAAAACATGTCGAACGCAGACCCAGCGTCCACGACAGAAAGCTCGGAGGCCGACTCACTGAACTGGCAACGTCGTGCAAAAGGTTGCATACCTGGGATGCGTCGGAAAGCCTATCTGAATCGTGCTGACGCGAGGCACGCCGTGATGACGTAGATGAAAAAAAACAACGCTGGTACTTGCATGTGCTGGTCCTGTGCTTCTGGGAGAGGACTTCTGCTTGGCGACCATTGGGTAAGGAGGCCTCCATCTCTGGTTTTCTGGAATCGCTATGGCGCGCTGCCGCTGAGCTTTCGACGTCTTGTAGTCGCTGGGCTGCGTCCGCCCAGTTCCCTTGGCCTGACTTGTCTACGTCGCCTGTCTCCAAGAACACCATTTCTTCTGAGCGTTCCCGCGCTGCCCCTGGCGGAAGACAACCGTGGAATGGCGCCCCCGCTGCTGCCTAGTCTGCGTGCATGTGCTGATGCGGCGTCGGCCATGCTGCGCGACCAACCCACTCAGAACGCATGTGCTACTAGGATCAACACGATCGAAGACAAAACCGTGAGTCGGGTCACCAGGCATCTCGTTCCTTCAGGGTCCGTTTCCGGTGGTGCAAGGAGCTGGTCTAGGCGTTGGCTGCATTCGTTCCAGCCGTGCGCCAGGTCGAGGGTGGCCCCGTGCATCATCTCGTCTTCGCGCGAATTTCCTGGCCGCCACCCCCAAACCTCTGTCAGGTGCAGCTACTGCACCCAGGGTCGTGCGCATGCTGCTCGAGCGGCTTTGGGCGCGTCTCCGCGTTGGTCGTCTGTCGGCGCCGGTGCGTCGCGTCGAAGCGCCGCTGCCTGGGCGCCCGCGGCAGCTGCCCAGGCGCTCGACATCTCCCATGGGCACGTTTGCTACTGCGTCTGACACGGCATCCCACGACCGCTCAGACCGTGCTGGGCCTCGACTCGGCGGTCTGCTTGCGGCTCCTGGGCCTGGTGCTGGCGCGGTCTCCCCGTGGCGAGAAGGGGCCCTTTTCCCAAGTCTGCTGCCACTTTAGGTCCCGACCATGAGAGCTGCGGCATGGCCACCTCCATGTGCGCGTCATTTGCGGTGGCACTGCGGAGTTGCCCGCGTGTCCAGCGTCGGTGGCACCGGTCGTGCCGTCGCGACGTCGGCTGGTGGATGCCTGGGCGGAGGTGGCGGCGCGGGAAGCATCCCGTCCTGCGCGTCTCCGTTGGGTGCTGATGGCACGCCCCAATTCCGGGTGCTGCCGAGTCGGCCTTGGTGGCGCGTGGCCACGACGCTGCGCCCCAGGCGATGCCAGAGCAATGGAATTTCGATTGGCACGCCTTCTCGCCATTTCGTCGGGAGTGGCGCCGCCAATGCCGCGGTGCAATGCCACGCCGTTCGCACTCCGATACGCTGCCATATCTTCCCCGAGCAGCTGTTCGTATTCAATGAAGATCGCTGCGGCCGTCCCGCCTCTGAGTCCATTGTTGCGCCGCGTCCGAGGTGGCGTCGAGGGCCCGCGCATCGTCGACCGCCCCTGTCCAGGTCGTCGCGAAATGTCTTCGAGATGGCAGGGCAATCCCCGCGTCAGCATGTAATGCGCGTTTTCTGCATTCGCACCGTGTGCGCAACACTCTGGGCGCAATCAGCCATGCAGGTCTGCGTTCCAGCGGCGTTGCAATCGGATCCTCGCGTAGACCCACTCGGGAGCGAGCAAGGGGCCAGCATGGCCCTGAACGGCTCGCAAGTACAAGTGATTGACGATGGTGGTCGGGTCAGCGCGCGCCTTGAGCTGGCGGCGATTTTCATGATGGCCATGGCTGTCCTCGGTCTGTGTTATTTTCAAACAAATCCATGACAACTCTTCGAATGTCACATCCCCGCAATGTCATGCGACTCATGGACTGTGGAAAACCTGCACTTGGTTATGTGCATTGTTCCAACCGTCAGAATCATCCAAGCTGCCAACCAGATTCACCCCTTTGTGCGTTGACCGCTCATGTCGAATAATCGTGCCGACATGCGTTTAAATCTCGATCATTTTCAGCTGTGACACGAGGGATCGGGATCGCAGGTGCCGAAGTCGATCTGGCGGCCGCCTATCTTCTTGGACGGTCGCTGTCCCTCCCTACGAAGCTGTCGCGTCCGCTCCTTCCAAATGCCCGCCCCCGTTCTGCCCGCCCCCTGGCTGGGGCGGCCCGCGTCTTGCCCCGCGGGCCCGAGCGGCCTTCCCCTCTAGGGCCCAGCTTGTTGCCCTGAGCAGGGCCGTCATAATCGGTCGAGCGTCGGTCGGTCGCTGGGCGGCGCTCCTTGGGGAATCGGCGACGGCGCCTCCTTAGGCGCGCGCGCTTGTTGAGGATGCAGCCGCTGGAGCGATCGGCGCCGGCGGTTGGCAAGGCGTTGTCGCGGCGGGCTGCTTTGCTGGAGGCGGCGGCGCTGCTGGCGTCGGTAGTCCAACCCTCTTTGGTGCAGGGCGGCGCTGGTGGCGTCGACGATTGTTGAGCTGGTGGTCGACGTGGTCAAATGCCTCCAGGCAAATGTCTTGATGCCGCGCTTGGTTGGCCCAGTGGGTTCTTGGGCCCTGGGAAATGTTCCCCCGTCGCTGCCTCGGAGCAATACTTCGGCGTCGAATCGAGAAATGTCTTCTTGGATTCGTCTCGCGTCAGCGCATCATTCGTCAGGGTGCCTTTCGGTTTTGCGAGTGCTTCTCCGTCTTCTCCCCCTGGCCAATGCGGGGCTGGAGCGCGCTGTCCAAGTTGCTCATCCTTTCGGACTGTGGCCCCCGACAAACAGAACGCGCTCCTGGTCGATGGAACTCGGGTGTTTCCGCTCGGCAGGCCTCCTCGTGAACGTGGCGATCTGGCACCGGCCCCCTGGCCATCTCGAAAAGTGGACGTTGCATCTTGGATCAGCTTGTCGCGCGGACTGGGCAAAGGAGTCCCCGATTTTGCGCACCTGCCCTTGTAGAGGCTCACCAGAGGCCTACCATAGTCTGCGCGAAGCCTACGCAGATGCCTGTGGCAGGCCCGCGCGAAGGCTGTGCATCAGCCGATCGCGGAGCGCCGGCGATTACAGAAACCCACCAGGAGCCTACCACAGGCCAGCGCGAAGCCTATGCGCAAGCCCATATATGCGCAGTCTTGGCATAAGCCTATCGCGGAGCGCCTGCACCTCCAGAGGCCCCGCGTAGGCCCAGCACAGGCACGCGCATGACTTATGCACAGGCCTATGGTAGATCCATGCGCGGGCTGTCATGAACATATCGCGGAGCGCCGGTCTCTTTTTAGGCCCAGAGGCCAGCATCAACCCTGCGCGCTATATGCACAAGCCTTTTCTAAGCCTCTGTGCGGGCTGTGCATAGGCCCATGGCGACGTACCGCCCTCCCTCGAGACTCACTGGATGCCTGCATCAGGTCAAAACACAGCCTATGCACAGGCCTGTTACAGGACAGTGCGCAAGCTGTGCAATCGTGGGGCCTGTTCACCGACTGCGCACAAACCGATTGCGAGCCCGTGCGAAGGCTATACATCGGAGCTACGAAAGCGAAAGTTTTGACCCGTTCCGTGCTTCCACCAAGACAAGTCTTCTGCGAAAGCGCCAAAGCGAATTCGAGCTGGAGACGTGCCGACCTCTATTCTCGATCACTGGAACCAGAATGGTGTCGACTTGTAGTCTGGAGGAAATCTTGGGCGGGAGCGCCATTTCAACATCAAATCCGAAAGGCTCCGAATTCTGCTTTGGAGGAAGACCTCGACCGGACCGCCCCTTCGAAATCGAAACAGAAAGGTTTCGAATTCTGGCTTGGAGGAAATCTCCGGCGGGAGCGCGATTTCGAAATCGAGCCCGAAAGTTCCGAAATCGTGCGAACTCATTTTCTGCGGACGTCTCGAGCGAAAACGTCGTTACTAAATGGCCACACCGTCTGGTATGTCACATTTTAGATTCCGGACCAGATATTTCAGAACACGGGCTTTCGCTTGAGACTTCCAAACAACGATCTCGTTTGGACTTCGAAACCATCGGATTCGAAGTCGACAAGGCGGTTCCGCCCGAGACTTGAACAAAACTGTGCTTGGACAAGACATTGTACTGGGGCCCCGCGGCCTAACGGGCCCCTTTACTGTCTCCTCTCCTGTCGCGGGCGCAACGCCAGCGACAACGTTATACCGGGGCCCCGTCGCCTAAGGGGAGGCGCAGCATGTTGGCCAAGCTCTCGTAGCGGCGGTTGCCCTGCACATTGCGCTGCGCACATATCGCTCGGAAGTGATTCGCCCGCGTCTCACTCCTCGGGCACTGCGAATCGACGCGCATGAACGATGCGACGATGCCGACGCGTCTCAAAGTGCACGACGACGGCGATACATCGGTCGGCGAGCGAGTGCGCCACTTTCCAGACCGACCAAATGCAGGGCAACCATAAGCGGTTTGAAATCCCGCATCGGCGCTACGAAAGATTTTGTCCGATTCAAAACAAACCTTCGGCGGGGGCGCAATTGCGAATCCGAGCCGGAGAAGTGCCGACCTCGGTTTTCGATGAATTATTCCGGGGCAGGAACGCCTTTCAGAATCGAGCCAAAACGGTGTTGAATTCTAGTCTGGAAGGAGGTATTGGGCGGGAGCGCCATTTCGAAATCGAACCCGAAAGGCTTCACATTCTGTTTCGGAGGAAGTCCTCGACGGGAGCGCCAATTTGAAATCTGGCTTGGAGGCTTGGGCGGGAGCGCCATTTCGAAATCAAACCCGAAAGTTTCGAAATCGTTCGAAAGTGTTTGTCGAAAGAAGTCTCAAGGGAGACCGTCCCCTGGAAATGGCCACACCAGCATGCCAGCGGGCCCCCCGTGTGAGAGACGATCGTGAGGAAAAGGTGCGAATGGGTAGTAGCACAAAGCAGTTCCAAACATTTCCAAACTAGTAATGGTTACGAGTAGCTAGAACAGCTATAACATAATATGATTCGCTTGGAAGCACTGGAAGTAATTCAACATGAACGATGATGGCGAGCCCCCAATCGGAAGGCGTTCCGGGCTTCTTCTCCTTTCCCTACTGTTTCCGCCTCCTGTATTCCCTCCTGCACTTTTCCCTCATATTTTGTCGTCATCCTTCTTCTTCGGATTTCTCCTCATCCTGCTCGTTCGGCCTTTCCCCGGTCCTCGTCATCTTTCTCCTCCCCTCATCAGGAGGAGTGGGAGGCGAGGGGGAGAACAGGGGGCGTAGGCGGGAAAGGATACGTCAAGTTTTTCTTAACAGTTGACAATACTTTCCATGGGAGCAGCGTGAAGCCGGAATCTGAAAGAAGGCGGGTGGAGAAGGAAACGCACCAAACGCGCCACGCGCATCATGCGCATGGCGCCTTCCAAGGAGCCTCCAAAGGACCCCAAGAGGCAGACGAGCGCATGCGAGGACAATACAGAGGAGCGCTCCGAGCCGTTGAATCGCCACCCTCGCCACCCCCGCATGCGCAGCACATATCTCCGGCTGTGAAGTCGCTGTCGTCGTACAAGTAGTCATATGCGCAATACTGAGCATAATCTGTCCACCATTCGCAGCCGCCGCCATTGGTCCCTATTGCTTCCTCCGAAGTGTCCGCACAAGTTGCCTGCACTACTAACTGATCTACCTCCGGCATGCCAGCGGGTACCCCGTATGATAAACGATCACGTGGAAAAGGTGGGAATGGATAGTAGCACAAAGAAGTGCCAAACTAGTAATTGTTACGAGTGGCTGGAACAGCGATGCCATAGTATGATCCACTTGAAAACACTGGAGGTAATTCAACATGAACGATGACGACGAGCCCCCCATCGGAAAGCAGTCCGGGCTTCTCCTCCTTTCCCTACTGTTTCCGGCTCATGCACTCTTTCCTCATCTTTTATCGTCCGCCTTCTTCCTCAGATTTCTCCTCATCCTGCTCGATCTGCCTTCCCCCGGTCCTCATCATCACTCTCCTCCCCTCTCCTCAGGGATGAGAGGGAGGCGAGGGGGAGAACCGGGGGCGGCGGCGGGGGAGGGTGCGGGGAGGGGATCCCGCAGAGGGACCCCGTGTGGTTCGAAGATGACCCCAAGATTGCTCCAGGAGTGCTTCAAGACGCGCCCCGATGAACCTCGATATGCATCGTTTCCAACGTTTCCAAATGTACACACATACATCTACTTTAAGACAAATACCAGAACCATCGCGCACGCTTCGCACGCGGCGTTCTTTGACGCCCTCCAGCGCCAGCGCGGGGTCGTGGCGGCCTCTTGGGACCCCTGGAGCCCCCTGGAGCCTTCCCAGGGCATCTTCAGAATCCCTAGGGCTGTCGGAGCAGCCTTCAGCCTCATCTTGAGGGCGTCGTTGGGGTATCTTGGGCCGTGTGAGGAGCGTCTGGGGCCCCTCCTGGGGGAGCTCCAGGACACTTCTTAAGCTATGTTGAGCCCTCATGGGGGGGCCATCTTGGGGCCCGCTTGCGGTACCAGGCGGCGTAAAACACCTGGGCAGGAACTTTGTGACTTGGTTTGACTTTGGCTCGGGAGGGCCAGCGTCAAGCCACAACCCAAGGCGGACACCCATCTCCCCTGTCCACTCAGATTTTGCCCGGACGCGGCCACAGCGCTCCCAACTCGAGGGGCGCGGGCAGATCTGGAGGGCTACGCCCTCTGCTGGCAGCCCCCCTCGCGGAACCATGTAGGGGCCACGTTGGGACGACCACGGGTCATCGCTGGGCCCTGTCGTTGGGGTCATGTTCGGGTTTATGCCCCTGAGGGCCACACGCCTTTGGGGGGGGGTACTCTAAGATCGCCTCGAAAGATATTGGGGATTCTTCGTGGCAAGACAGAAGTCGGGAGGAGGAAGAGGGACGAGAGAGGAGGGAAGGAACGGGGAACAGGGAATAGGGAGGCGGGTTGAGGGAGGACGAAGAGTGAAGCAGGGTAGAACGAGGGAGACAAAAAAGGTAGGAAGGAGGAGAGGAGGCAGGAGGAGCAGGGGAAATAGGAGGGAGAAGAGAGAAAGAAAAAGGAAAGAGGGAGACGAGGCCGGATTCGGAGATGACGTGGGTGCGGGCGTCGGGCTGCTGGGCGTCGGCGCCTCGATTGGAACAAGCACTGAGGAGGCGGGCTGGCGCGCCATGAGGAGGCGGGCCGAACTGATACATGAGATGTTGAATGAGGCGGGCGTGGGACACACAAACATGCGCACGTGTACATGTGGCGGGCAAGAAGCAGAATAACATCGCGCTTGCAGTAGACGCACACTTGCCAGAGCTGCGCGCGCGCTTTTCGGTTCTAGTGTGCACCAGGGCGGCCACACAACCTCGTGTGAGCACGGGTCCAAGGGTCCAAATCCGACACGATCACCGTCTGGGGACTCCACTTTACAGCCGCCGACGCGATCAGCGTGATCGACGCTCCACGCTGGACAGTACTTTCCATGAGAGCAGCGTGACGTAGGAATCTGAAAAAGGTGGGTGGAGAAGGAAACGCACCAAACGCGCCACGCGCATCATGCGCATGGCGCCTCCCAAGGAGCCTCCAAAGGACCCCAAGAGGCAGACGAGCGCATGTGAGGACAATGAAAAGGAGCGCTCCGAGCCGTTGAATCGCCACCCTCGCCACCCCCGCATGCGCAACACATGTCTCCGGCTGTGAAGTCGCTGTCGTCGTACAAATAGTCATATGCGCAATACTGAGCATAATCTGTCCACCACTCGCAACCGCCGCCATTGGTCCCTATTGCTTCCTCCGAAGTGTCCGCACAAGTTGCCTGCACTACTAACTGATCTACCTCCGGCATGCCAGCGGGTACCCCGTATGAGAGACGATCATGAGGAAAAGGTGGGAATGGATAGTAGCACAAAGCAGTGCCAAACTAGTAATTGTTACGAGTGGCTGGAACAGCTATGACATAATATGATACGCTTGGAAGCACTGGAGGTAATTCAACATGAACGTTGACGACAAGCCCCCTATCGGAATGCGGTCCGGGCTTCTTCTCCTTTCCATACTGTTTCCGACTCCTGCACTTTTTTTCTCATCTTCTATCGTCCGACTTCTTCCTCAGATTTCTCCTCATCCTGCTCGATCTGCCTTCCCCCGGTCCTCATCATCACTCTCCTCCCCTCTCCTCAAAGAAGAGAGGGAGGCGAGGGGGAGAACCGGGGGCGGCGGCGGGGAAGGGTGCGGGGAGGGGATCCCGCAGAGGGACCCCGTGTGGTTCGAAGATGACCCCAAGATTGCTCCAGGAGTGCTTCAAGACGCGCCCCGATGAACCTCGATATGCTTCGTTTACAAATGTACACACATACATCTACTTTAAGACACATACCAGAACCATCGCGCACGCTTCGCACGCGGCGTTCTTTGACGCCCTCCAGCGCCAGCGCGGGGTCGTGGAGGCCTCTTTGGACCCCTGGAGCCCCCTGGAGCCTTCCCAGGGCATCTTCAGAATCCCTAGGGCTGTCGGAGCAGCCTTCAGCCTCATCTTGAGGGCGTCGTTGGGGTATCTTGGGCCGTGTGAGGAGCGTCTGGGGCCCCTCCTGGGGGAGCTCCAGGACACTTCTTAAGCTATGTTGAGCCCTCCTGGGGGGGCCATCTTGGGGCCCGCTTGCGGTACCAGGCGGTGTAAAACATCCGGGCAGGAACTTTGTGACTTGGTTTGACTTTGGCTCGGGAGGGCCAGCGTCAAGCCACAACACAAGGCGGACACCCATCTCCCCTGTCCACTCAGATTTTGCCCGGACGCGGCCACAGCGCTCCCAACTCGAGGGGCGCGGGCAGATCTGGAGGGCTACGCCCTCTGCTGGCAGCCCCCCTCGCGGAACCATGTAGGGGCCACGTTGGGACGACCACGGGTCATCGCTGGGCCCTGTCGTTGGGGTCATGTTCGGGTTTATGCCCCTGAGGGCCACATGCGTTTGGGGGGGGGCACTCTAAGATCGCCTCGAAAGGTATTGGGGATTCTTCGTGGCAAGACGGAAGTCGGGAGGAGGAAGAGGGACGAGAAAAGAGGGAAGGAACGGGGAGCAGGGAATAGGGAGGCGGGTTGAGGGAGGACGAAGAGTGAAGCAGGGTAGAACGAGGGAGACAAAGAAGGTAGGAAGGAGGAGAGAAGGCAGGAGGAGCAGGGGAAATAGGAGGGAGAAGAGAGAAAGAAAAAGGAAAGAGGGAGACGAGGCCGGATTCGGAGATGGCGTGGGTGCGGGCGTCGGGCTGCTGGGCGTCGGCGCCTCGATTGGGACAAGCACTGAGGAGGCGAGCTGGCGCGCCATGAGGAGGCGGGCCGAACTGCTACATGAGATGTTGAATGAGGCGGGCGTGGGACACACAAACATGCGCACGTGTACATGTGGCGGGCAAGCAGAAGACCATCGCGCGTGCAGTAGACGCACACTTGCCAGAGCAGCGCGCGCGCTTTTCGGTTCTAGCGTATACCAGGGCGGCCACACAACCTCGTGTGAGCACGGGTCCAAGGGTCCAATTCCGACACGATCACCGTCTGGGGACCCCACTTTACAGCCGCCGACGCGATCAGCGTGACCGACGCTCCACGCTGGACAGCACTTTCCATGAGAGCAGCGCGACGTAGGAATCTGAAAAAGGTGGGTGGAGAAGGAAACGCACCAAACGCGCCACGCGCATCATGCGCATGGCGCCTCCCAAGGAGCCTCCAAAGGACCCCAAGAGGCAGACGAGCGCATGTGAGGACAATGAAAAGGAGCGCTCCGAGCCGTTGAATCGCCACCCTCGCCACCCCCGCATGCGCAGCACATGTCTCCGGCTGTGAAGTCGCTGTCGTCGTACAAGTAGTCATATGCGCAATACTGAGCATAATCTGTCCACCATTCGCAACCGCCGCCATTGGTCCCTATTGCTTCCTCCGAAGTGTCCGCACAAGTTGCCTGCACTACTAACTGATCTACCTCCGGCATGCCAGCGGGTACCCCGTATGAGAGACGATCATGAGGAAAAGGTGGGAATGGATAGTAGCACAAAGCAGTGCCAAACTAGTAATTGTTACGAGTGGCTGGAACAGCTACGCCATAATATGATACACTTGGAAGCACTGGAGGTAATTCAACATGAACGATGACGACAAGCCCCCTATCGGAAGGCGGTCCGGGCTTCGTCTCCTTTCCCTACTGTTTCCGACTCCTGCACTCTTTCCTCATCTTCTATCGTCCGACTTCTTCCTCAGATTTCTCCTCATCCTGCTCGATCTGCCTTCCCCCGGTCCTCATCACCACTCTCCTCCCCTCTCCTCAAAGAAGAGAGGGAGGCGAGGGGGAGAACCGGGGGCGGCGGCGGGGAAGGGTGCGGGGAGGGGATCCCGCAGAGGGACCCCGTGTGGTTCGAAGATGACCCCAAGATTGCTCCAGGAGTGCTTCAAGACGCGCCCCGATGAACCTCGATATGCATCGTTTCCAACGTTTCCAAATGTACACACATACATCTACTTTAAGACACATACCAGAACCATCGCGCACGCTTCGCACGCGGCGTTCTTTGACGCCCTCCAGCGCCAGCGCGGGGTCGTGGCGGCCTCTTGGGACCCCTGGAGCCCCCTGGAGCCTTCCCAGGGCATCTTCAGAATCCCTAGGGCTGTCGGAGCAGCCTTCAGCCTCATCTTGAGGGCGTCGTTGGGGTATCTTGGGCCGTGTGAGGAGCGTCTGGGGCCCCTCCTGGGGGAGCTCCAGGACACTTCTTAAGCTATGTTGAGCCCTCCTGGGGGGGCCATCTTGGGGCCCGCTTGCGGTACCAGGCGGCGTAAAACACCCGGGCAGGAACTTTGTGACTTGGTTTGACTTTGGCTCGGGAGGGCCAGCGTCAAGCCACAACCCAAGGCGGACACCCATCTCCCCTGTCCACTCAGATTTTGCCCGGACGCGGCCACAGCGCTCCCAACTCGAGGGGCGCGGGCAGATCTGGAGGGCGACGCCCTCTGCTGGCAGCCCCCCTCGCGGAACCATGTAGGGGCCACGTTGGGACGACCACGGGTCATCGCTGGGCCCTGTCGTTGGGGTCATGTTCGGGTTTATGCCCCTGAGGGCCACACGCGTTTGGGGGGGGCACTCTAAGATCGCCTCGAAAGGTATTGGGGATTCTTCGTGGCAAGACGGAAGTCGGGAGGAGGAAAAGGGACGAGAGAAGAGGGAAGGAACGGGGAGCAGGGAATAGGGAGGCGGGTTGAGGGAGGACGAAGAGTGAAGCAGGGTAGAACGAGGGAGACAAAGAAGGTAGGAAGGAGGAGAGGAGGCAGGAGGAGCAGGGGAAATAGGAGGGAGAAGAGAGAAAGAAAAAGGAAAGAGGGAGACGAGGCCGGATTCGGAGATGACGTGGGTGCGGGCGTCGGGCTGCTGGGCGTCGGCGCCTCGATTGGGACAAGCACTGAGGAGGCGGGCTGGCGCGCCATGAGGAGGCGGGCCGAACTGATACATGAGATGTTGAATGAGGCGGGCGTGGGACACACAAACATGCGCACGTGTACATGTGGCGGGCAAGCAGAATAACATCGCGCGTGCAGTAGACGCACACTTGCCAGAGCTGCGCGCGCGCTTTTCGGTTCTAGCGTATACCAGGGCGGTCACACAACCTCGTGTGAGCACGGGTCCAAGGGTCCAATTCCGACACGATCACCGTCTGGGGACCCCACTTTACAGCCGCCGACGCGATCAGCGTGATCGACGCTCCACGCTGGACAGTACTTTCCATGAGAGCAGCGTGAAGTAGGAATCTGAAAGATGGGTGGAGAAGGAAACGCACCAAACGCGCCACGCGCATCATGCGCATAGTGCCTCCCAAGGAGCCTCCAAAGGACCCCAAGAGGCAGACGAGCGCATGTGAGGACAATGAAAAGGAGCGCTCCGAGCCGTTGAATCGCCACCCTCGCCACCCCCGCATGCGCAGCACATGTCTCCGGCTGTGAAGTCGCTGTCGTCGTACAAAAAGTCATATGCGCAATACTGAGCATAATCTGTCCACCATTCGCAACCGCCGCCATTGGTCCCTATTGCTTCCTCCGAAGTGTCCGCACAAGTTGCCTGCACTACTAACTGATCTACCTCCGGCATGCCAGCGGGTACCCCGTAGGATCAACGATCACGATGAAAAGGTGGGAATGGATAGTAGCACAAAGCAGTGCCAAACTAGTAATTGTTACGAGTGGCTGGAACAGCTATGCCATAATATGATACACTTGGAAGCACTGGAGGTAATTCAACATGAACGATGACGACAAGCCCCCTATCGGAAGGCGGTCCGGGCTTCGTCTCCTTTCCCTACTGTTTCCGACTCCTGCACTTTTTTTCTCATCTTCTATCGTCCGACTTCTTCCTCAGATTTCTCCTCATCCTGCTCGATCTGCCTTCCCCCGGTCCTCATCATCACTCTCCTCCCCTCTCCTCAAAGAAGAGAGGGAGGTGAGGGGGAGAACCGGGGGCGGCGGCGGCGGGGAAGGGTGCGGGGAGGGGATCCCGCAGAGGGACCCCGTGTGGTTCGAAGATGACCCCAAGATTGCTCCAGGAGTGCTTCAAGACGCGCCCCGATGAACCTCGATATGCTTCGTTTCCAAATGTACACACATACATCTACTTTTATACACATACCAGAACCATCGCGCACGCTTCGCACGCGGCGTTCTTTGACGCCCTCCAGCGCCAGCGCGGGGTCGTGGAGGCCTCTTGGGACCCCTGGAGCCCCCTGGAGCCTTCCCAGGGCATCTTCAGAATCCCTAGGGCTGTCGGAGCAGCCTTCAGCCTCATCTTGAGGGCGTCGTTGGGGTATCTTGGGCCGTGTGAGGAGCGTCTGGGGCCCCTCCTGGGGGAGCTCCAGGACACTTCTTAAGCTATGTTGAGCCCTCCTGGGGGGGCCATCTTGGGGCCCGCTTGCGGTACCAGGCGGTGTAAAACATCCGGGCAGGAACTTTGTGACTTGGTTTGACTTTGGCTCGGGAGGGCCAGCGTCAAGCCACAACCCAAGGCGGACACCCATCTCCCCTGTCCACTCAGATTTTGCCCGCGACGCGGCCACAGCGCTCCCTAACTCGATGGCGCGGCAGATCTGGAGGCTACGCCCTCTGCTGACAGCCCCCTGCAGCGGAACCATTAGGGGCCACGGTTGGGACGACACGAGGGTCATCGCTGGGCCACTGTCGTTGGGAGTGCATGTTCGTTTATGCCCCTGAGGGCCACACGCGTTTGGGGGGGGGCACTCTAAGATCGCCTCGAAAGGTATTGGGGATTCTTCGTGGCAAGACGGAAGTCGGGAGGAGGAAGAGGGACGAGAGAAGAGGGAAGGAACGGGGACCAGGGAATAGGGAGGCGGGTTGAGGGAGGACGAAGAGTGAAGCAGGGTAGAACGAGGGAGACAAAGAAGGTAGGAAGGAGGAGAGGAGGCAGGAGGAGCAGGGGAAATAGGAGGTAGAAGAGAGAAAGAAAACGGAAAGAGGGAAGACGGGCCGGATTCAAAAAAAAGAAGGAGTGAAGCGTGGGTGCGGGCGTCGGCTACTGCGTCGCGCCTCGATTGGGACCAAGCCCTGGAGGCGGGCTGGCTACGCCATGAGGGGGGCCGGCCGCACTGATAACATGAGATGTGAATGAGGCGGGGCGTGGGAACACACAAACATGCGCACGTGTACATGTGGCGGGCAAGAATGCAGAATAACAGCGCGCTTGCAGTAGACGCACACTTGGCGTTGCCAGAGCCTGCGCCGGGCGCTTTCGGTCTATGTGTGGCACCAAGGGCGGCCAGGCCACACAACCTCGTGTGAGCACGGGTCCAAGGGTCCAAATCCGACACGATCACCGTCTGGGGACCCCACTTTACAGCCGCCGACGCGATCAGCGTGATCGACGCTCCACGCTGGACAGTACTTTCCATGAGAGCAGCGTGACGTAGGAATCTGAAAAAGGTGGGTGGAGAAGGAAACAGCCCAACGCGCACTCGCATCATGCGCATGGCGCCTCCCAAGGAGGCCCTCCAAGGACCCCAGGCGCAGACCGAGCGCATTGTGAGGACAATGAAAAGAACGCTCCCGAGCCGTTGAATCGCCACCCTCCCACCCCGCATGCGCAACACATGTCCCCCGGCTGTGAAGTCGCTTGTCGTCGTACAAAAATTCATATGCGCAATAATGGCATAATCTGTCCCCCACTCGCAAACCGCCGCCATTGGTCCCTATTGCTATCCTCCGAAGTGTCCGCACAAGTTGCCTTCACTACTAACTGATTCGTACCTCGGCATGCCATGCGGGTACCCCGTATGATCAACGATCATGAGGAAAAGGTGGGAATGGATAGTAGCACAAAGCAGTGCCAAACTAGTAATTGTTACGAGTGGCTGGAACAGCTATGACATAATATGATACGCTTGGAAGCACTGGAGGTAATTCAACATGAACGATGACGACAATCCCCCTATCGGAAGGCGGTCCGGGCTTCTTCTCCTTTCCATACTGTTTCCGACTCCTGCACTTTTTTTCTCATCTTCTATCGTCCCGACTTCTTCCAGATTTCTCCCTCATCCATGCTGCGATCTGCCTTCCCCCGTCCTCCTCATCACTCTCCGTCCTCCCTTCTCCTCAAAGAAGAGAGGGAGGGAGGGGGAGAACCGGTGGGCGGCGGCGGCGGGAGTGGGTGCGGGGAGGGGATCCGCAGAGGGACACCGTGTGGATTCGAAAGATGACCCCAAGATTGCTCCAGGAGTGCTTCAAGACGCGCCCGCGATGAACCTCGATATGCTTCGTTTCCAAGAATGTAACACACATACATTCTACTTTTTTATACACGGATACCAGAACGCATCGCGCAACTCTGCAGGCGCGGCGTTTCTTTGACGCCCTCCAGCGCCAGCGCGGGGTCGTGGAGGCCTCTTGGGACCCCTGGAGCCCCCTGGAGCCTTCCCAGGGCATCTTCAGAATCCCTAGGGCTGTCGGAGCAGCCTTCAGCCTCATCTTGAGGGCGTCGTTGGGGTATCTTGGGCTGTGTGAGGAGCGTCTGGGGCCCCTCCTGGGGGAGCTCCAGGACACTTCTTAAGCTATGTTGAGCCCTCCTGGGGGGGCCATCTTGGGGCCCGCTTGCGGTACCAGGCGGTGTAAAACATCCGGGCAGGAACTTTGCGACTTGGTTTGACTTTGGTTCGGGAGGGCCAGCGTCAAGCCACAACCCAAGGCGGACACCCATCTCCCCTGTCCACTCAGATTTTGCCCGGACGCGGCCACAGCGCTCCCAACTCGAGGGGCGCGGGCAGATCTGGAGGGCTACGCCCTCTGCTGGCAGCCCCCCTCGCGGAACCATGTAGGGGCCACGTTGGGACGACCACGGGTCATCGCTGGGCCCTGTCGTTGGGGTCATGTTCGGGTTTATGCCCCTGAGGGCCACATGCGTTTGGGGGGGGGCACTCTAAGATCGCCTCGAAAGGTATTGGGGATTCTTCGTGGCAAGACGGAAGTCGGGAGGAGGAAGAGGGACGAGAAAAGAGGGAAGGAACGGGGAGCAGGGAATAGGGAGGCGGGTTGAGGGAGGACGAAGAGTGAAGCAGGGTAGAACGAGGGAGACAAAGAAGGTAGGAAGGAGGAGAGAAGGCAGGAGGAGCAGGGGAAATAGGAGGGAGAAGAGAGAAAGAAAAAGGAAAGAGGGAGACGAGGCCGGATTCGGAGATGGCGTGGGTGCGGGCGTCGGGCTGCTGGGCGTCGGCGCCTCGATTGGGACAAGCACTGAGGAGGCGAGCTGGCGCGCCATGAGGAGGCGGGCCGAACTGCTACATGAGATGTTGAATGAGGCGGGCGTGGGACACACAAACATGCGCATGTGTACATGTGGCGGGCAAGCAGAAGACCATCGCGCGTGCAGTAGACGCACACTTGCCAGAGCAGCGCGCGCGCTTTTCGGTTCTAGCGTATACCAGGGCGGCCACACAACCTCGTGTGAGCACGGGTCCAAGGGTCCAATTCCGACACGATCACCGTCTGGGGACCCCACTTTACAGCCGCCGACGCGATCAGCGTGACCGACGCTCCACGCTGGACAGTACTTTCCATGAGAGCAGCGCGACGTAGGAATCTGAAAAAGGTGGGTGGAGAAGGAAACGCACCAAACGCGCCACGCGCATCATGCGCATGGCGCCTCCCAAGGAGCCTCCAAAGGACCCCAAGAGGCAGACGAGCGCATGTGAGGACAATGAAAAGGAGCGCTCCGAGCCGTTGAATCGCCACCCTCGCCACCCCCGCATGCGCAACACATGTCTCCAGCTGTGAAGTCGCTGTCGTCGTACAAAAAGTCATATGCGCAATACTGAGCATAATCTGTCCACCATTCGCAACCGCCGCCATTGGTCCCTATTGCTTCCTCCGAAGTGTCCGCACAAGTTGCCTGCACTACTAACTGATCTACCTCCGGCTGCCAGCTGGTACCCCGTAGATCCGAACGATCACGAATGAAAAGGTGGGATGGATATTAGCACAAAGCAGTGCCAAACTAGTATTGTTACGGAGTGGCTGGAACAGCTATGCCATAATATGATACTTGGAAGCTACTGGAGGTAATTCAACTGAACGATGACGACAAGCCCCCTATCAGGAGCGGTCCGGTCTTCGTCTCCTTTCCCTACTGTTTCCGACTCCTGCACTCTTTCTCTCACATCTTCTTATCGTCCGACTCTTCAGATTTCTCCTCATCCTGCTCGATCTCTGCCTTCCGGGCGGTCCCATTCAGCACTCTCCTCCCCTCTCCTCAAGAAGAGAGGGAAGGGAGGGGGAGACCGGGGGCGGCGGCGGTGAAGGGTGGCGGGCAGGGGGATCCCGCAGAGGGACCCCGTGTGGTTCGAAGATGACCCCAAGATTGCTCCAGGAGTGCTTCAAGACGCGCCCCGATGAACCTCGATATGCTTCGTTTCCAAATGTACACACATACATCTACTTTTATACACATACCAGAACCATCGCGCACGCTTCGCACGCGGCGTTCTTTGACGCCCTCCAGCGCCAGCGCGGGGTCGTGGAGGCCTCTTGGGACCCCTGGAGCCCCCTGGAGCCTTCCCAGGGCATCTTCAGAATCCCTAGGGCTGTCGGAGCAGCCTTCAGCCTCATCTTGAGGGCGTCGTTGGGGTATCTTGGGCTGTGTGAGGAGCGTCTGGGGCCCCTCCTGGGGGAGCTCCAGGACACTTCTTAAGCTATGTTGAGCCCTCCTGGGGGGGCCATCTTGGGGCCCGCTTGCGGTACCAGGCGGTGTAAAACATCCGGGCAGGAACTTTGCGACTTGGTTTGACTTTGGTTCGGGAGGGCCAGCGTCAAGCCACAACCCAAGGCGGACACCCATCTCCCCTGTCCACTCCGAGTTTGCCCGGCGCGGCCACAGCGCTCCCAACTCGAGGGGCGCGGGCAGATCTTAGAGGGCTACGCCCTCTAACCGCTGGCACCCCCCTCGCGGAACCATGTAGGGGCCACGTTGGGACGACCACGGGTCATCGCTGGGCCCTGTCGTTGGGGTCATGTTCGGGTTTATGCCCCTGAGGGCCACACGCCTTTGGGGGGGGGTACTCTAAGATCGCCTCGAAAGATATTGGGGATTCTTCGTGGCAAGACAGAAGTCGGGAGGAGGAAGAGGGACGAGAGAGGAGGGAAGGAACGGGGAACAGGGAATAGGGAGGCGGGTTGAGGGAGGACGAAGAGTGAAGCAGGGTAGAACGAGGGAGACAAAAAAGGTAGGAAGGAGGAGAGGAGGCAGGAGGAGCAGGGGAAATAGGAGGGAGAAGAGAGAAAGAAAAAGGAAAGAGGGAGACGAGGCCGGATTCGGAGATGACGTGGGTGCGGGCGTCGGGCTGCTGGGCGTCGGCGCCTCGATTGGAACAAGCACTGAGGAGGCGGGCTGGCGCGCCATGAGGAGGCGGGCCGAACTGATACATGAGATGTTGAATGAGGCGGGCGTGGGACACACAAACATGCGCACGTGTACATGTGGCGGGCAAGAAGCAGAATAACATCGCGCTTGCAGTAGACGCACACTTGCCAGAGCTGCGCGCGCGCTTTTCGGTTCTAGTGTGCACCAGGGCGGCCACACAACCTCGTGTGAGCACGGGTCCAAGGGTCCAAATCCGACACGATCACCGTCTGGGGACTCCACTTTACAGCCGCCGACGCGATCAGCGTGATCGACGCTCCACGCTGAACAGTACTTTCCATGAGAGCAGCGTGACGTAGGAATCTGAAAAAGGTGGGTGGAGAAGGAAACGCACCAAACGCGCCACGCGCATCATGCGCATAGTGCCTCCCAAGGAGCCTCCAAAGGACCCCAAGAGGCAGACGAGCGCATGTGAGGACAATGAAAAGGAGCGCTCCGAGCCGTTGAATCGCCACCCTCGCCACCCCCGCATGCGCAGCACATGTCTCCGGCTGTGAAGTCGCTGTCGTCGTACAAAAAGTCATATGCGCAATACTGAGCATAATCTGTCCACCATTCGCAACCGCCGCCATTGGTCCCTATTGCTTCCTCCGAAGTGTCCGCACAAGTTGCCTGCACTACTAACTGATCTACCTCTGGCATGCCAGCGGGTACCCCGTAGGATCAACGATCACGATGAAAAGGTGGGAATGGATAGTAGCACAAAGCAGTGCCAAACTAGTAATTGTTACGAGTGGCTGGAACAGCTATGACATAATATGATACACTTGGAAGCACTGGAGGTAATTCAACATGAACGATGACGACAAGCCCCCTATCGGAAGGCGGTCCGGGCTTCGTCTCCTTTCCCTACTGTTTCCGACTCCTGCATTTTTTTTCTCATCTTCTATCGTCCGACTTCTTCCTCAGATTTCTCCTCATCCTGCTCGATCTGCCTTCCCCCGGTCCTCATCATCACTCTCCTCCCCTCTCCTCAAAGAAGAGAGGGAGGTGAGGGGGAGAACCGGGGGCGGCGGCGGCGGGGAAGGGTGCGGGGAGGGGATCCCGCAGAGGGACCCCGTGTGGTTCGAAGATGACCCCAAGATTGCTCCAGGAGTGCTTCAAGACGCGCCCCGATGAACCTCGATATGCTTCGTTTCCAAATGTACACACATACATCTACTTTTATACACATACCAGAACCATCGCGCACGCTTCGCACGCGGCGTTCTTTGACGCCCTCCAGCGCCAGCGCGGGGTCGTGGAGGCCTCTTGGGACCCCTGGAGCCCCCTGGAGCCTTCCCAGGGCATCTTCAGAATCCCTAGGGCTGTCGGAGCAGCCTTCAGCCTCATCTTGAGGGCGTCGTTGGGGTATCTTGGGCCGTGTGAGGAGCGTCTGGGGCCCCTCCTGGGGGAGCTCCAGGACACTTCTTAAGCTATGTTGAGCCCTCCTGGGGGGGCCATCTTGGGGCCCGCTTGCGCTACCAGGCGGCGTAAAACACCCGGGCAGGAACTTTGTGACTTGGTTTGACTTTGGCTCGGGAGGGCCAGCGTCAAGCCACAACCCAAGGCGGACACCCATCTCCCCTGTCCACTCAGATTTTGCCCGGACGCGGCCACAGCGCTCCCAACTCGAGGGGCGCGGGCAGATCTGGAGGGCTACGCCCTCTGCTGGCAGCCCCCCCCGCGGAACCATGTAGGGGCCACGTTGGGACGACCACGGGTCATCGCTGGGCCCTGTCGTTGGGGTCATGTTCGGGTTTATGCCCCTGACGGCCACACGCGTTTGGGGGGGGGCACTCTAAGATCGCCTCGAAAGGTATTGGGGATTCTTCGTGGCAAGACGGAAGTCGGGAGGAGGATGCAAGACCTAGAGCAGGGGGAGAACGGGAACAGGATAAAGAGGCGGTTGAGGGAGGACGAGAGTGGGAAGCAGGGTAGAACGAGGAGACCAAGAAGGTAGGAAGGAGGAGAGGAGGCAGGAGAGCAGGGGAAATCGGAGGGAGAAGAGAGAAAGAAAAAGGAAACCTGGGATACGAGGCCGGATTCGGAGATGACGTGGGTGCGGGCGTCGGGCTGCTGGGCGTCGGCGCCTCGATTGGAACAAGCACTGAGGAGGCGGGCTGGCGCGCCATGAGGAGGCGGGCCGAACTGATACATGAGATGTTGAATGAGGCGGGCGTGGGACACACAAACATGCGCACGTGTACATGTGGCGGGCAAGAAGCAGAATAACATCGCGCTTGCAGTAGACGCACACTTGCCAGAGCTGCGCGCGCGCTTTTCGGTTCTAGTGTGCACCAGGGCGGCCACACAACCTCGTGTGAGCACGGGTCCAAGGGTCCAAATCCGACACGATCACCGTCTGGGGACTCCACTTTACAGCCGCCGACGCGATCAGCGTGATCGACGCTCCACGCTGGACAGTACTTTCCATGAGAGCAGCGTGACGTAGGAATCTGAAAAAGGTGGGTGGAGAAGGAAACGCACCAAACGCGCCACGCGCATCATGCGCATGGCGCCTCCCAAGGAGCCTCCAAAGGACCCCAAGAGGCAGACGAGCGCATGTGAGGACAATGAAAAGGAGCGCTCCGAGCCGTTGAATCGCCACCCTCGCCACCCCCGCATGCGCAACACATGTCTCCGGCTGTGAAGTCGCTGTCGTCGTACAAAAAGTCATATGCGCAATACTGAGCATAATCTGTCCACCACTCGCAACCGCCGCCATTGGTCCCTATTGCTTCCTCCGAAGTGTCCGCACAAGTTGCCTGCACTACTAACTGATCTACCTCCGGCATGCCAGCGGGTACCCCGTATGAGAGACGATCATGAGGAAAAGGTGGGAATGGATAGTAGCACAAAGCAGTGCCAAACTAGTAATTGTTACGAGTGGCTGGAACAGCTATGACATAATATGATACGCTTGGAAGCACTGGAGGTAATTCAACATGAACGATGACGACAAGCCCCCTATCGGAAGGCGGTCCGGGCTTCTTCTCCTTTCCATACTGTTTCCGACTCCTGCACTTTTTTTCTCATCTTCTATCGTCCGACTTCTTCCTCAAATTTCTCCTCATCCTGCTCGATCTGCCTTCCCCCGGTCCTCATCATCACTCTCCTCCCCTCTCCTCAAAGAAGAGAGGGAGGCGAGGGGGAGAACCGGGGGCGGCGGCGGGGAAGGGTGCGGGGAGGGGATCCCGCAGAGGGACCCCGTGTGGTTCGAAGATGACCCCAAGATTGCTCCAGGAGTGCTTCAAGACGCGCCCCGATGAACCTCGATATGCTTCGTTTCCAAATGTACACACATACATCTACTTTTATACACATACCAGAACCATCGCGCACGCTTCGCACGCGGCGTTCTTTGACGCCCTCCAGCGCCAGCGCGGGGTCGTGGAGGCCTCTTGGGACCCCTGGAGCCCCCTGGAGCCTTCCCCGGTGCATCTTCAGAATCCATCGTGCGATCGGAGCAAGCCTTCAGCCTCATACTTGAGGGCGTCTTTTGGGGTATCTTGGGCTTGTGAGGAGCGTCTGGGGCCCCTCCTGGGGGAGCTCCAGGACACTTCTTAAGCTATGTTGAGCCCTCCTGGGGGGGCCATCTTGGGGCCCGCTTGCGGTACCAGGCGGTGTAAAACACCCGGGCAGGAACTTTGTGACTTGGTTTGACTTTGGCTCGGGAGGGCCAGCGTCAAGCCACAACCCAAGGCGGACACCCATCTCCCCTGTCCACTCAGATTTTGCCCGGACGCGGCCACAGCGCTCCCAACTCGAGGGGCGCGGGCAGATCTGGAGGGCTACGCCCTCTGCTGGCAGCCCCCCTCGCGGAACCATGTAGGGGCCACGTTGGGACGACCACGGGTCATCGCTGGGCCCTGTCGTTGGGGTCATGTTCGAGTTTATGCCCCTGAGGACCACACGCGTTTGGGGGGGGGCACTCTAAGATCGCCTCGAAAGGTATTGGGGATTCTTCGTGGCAAGACGGAAGTCGGGAGGAGGAAGAGGGACGAGAGAAGAGGGAAGGAACGGGGAACAGGGAATAGGGAGGCGGGTTGAGGGAGGACGAAGAGTGAAGCAGGGTAGAACGAGGGAGACAAAGAAGGTAGGAAGGAGGAGAGGAGGCAGGAGGAGCAGGGGAAATAGGAGGGAGAAGAGAGAAAGAAAAAGGAAAGAGGGAGACGAGGCCGGATTCGGAGATGACGTGGGTGCGGGCGTCGGGCTGCTGGGCGTCGGCGCCTCGATTGGGACAAGCACTGCATCGATGAGGCGAGCTGGCGCGCCATGAGGAGGCGGGCCAACTGCTAACATGATTGTTGATGAGCGGGCGTGGGACAACACAAACATGCGCATGTTGTGACTGTGGCGGGCAAGCAGAAGACCATCGCGCGTGCAGTAGACGCACACTTGCCAGAGCAGCGCGCGCGCTTTTCGGTTCTAGCGTATACCAGGGCGGCCACACAACCTCGTGTGAGCACGGGTCCAAGGGTCCAATTCCGACACGATCACAGTCTGGGGACCCCACTTTACAGCCGCCGACGCGATCAGCGTGACCGACGCTCCACGCTGGACAGTACTTTCCATGAGAGCAGCGCGACGTAGGAATCTGAAAAAGGTGGGTGGAGAAGGAAACGCACCAAACGCGCCACGCGCATCATGCGCATGGCGCCTCCCAAGGAGCCTCCAAAGGACCCCAAGAGGCAGACGAGCGCATGTGAGGACAATGAAAAGGAGCGCTCCGAGCCGTTGAATCGCCACCCTCGCCACCCCCGCATGCGCAACACATGTCTCCAGCTGTGAAGTCGCTGTCGTCGTACAAAAAGTCATATGCGCAATACTGAGCATAATCTGTCCACCATTCGCAACCGCCGCCATTGGTCCCTATTGCTTCCTCCGAAGTGTCCGCACAAGTTGCCTGCACTACTAACTGATCTACCTCCGGCATGCCAGCGGGTACCCCGTATGAGAGACGATCATGAGGAAAAGGTGGGAATGGATAGTAGCACAAAGCAGTGCCAAACTAGTAATTGTTACGAGTGGCTGGAACAGCTATGCCATAATATGATACACTTGGAAGCACTGGAGGTAATTCAACATGAACGATGACGACAAGCCCCCTATCGGAAGGCGGTCCGGGCTTCGTCTCCTTTCCCTACTGTTTCCGACTCCTGCACTCTTTCCTCATCTTCTATCGTCCGACTTCTTCAGATTTCTCCTCATCCTGCTCGATCTGCCTTCCCCCGGTCCTCATCATCACTCTCCTCCCCTCTCCTCAAAGAAGAGAGGGAGGCGAGGGGGAGAACCGGGGGCGGCGGCGGGGAAGGGTGCGGGGAGGGGATCCCGCAGAGGGACCCCGTGTGGTTCGAAGATGACCCCAAGATTGCTCCAGGAGTGCTTCAAGACGCGCCCCGATGAACCTCGATATGCTTCGTTTCCAACGTTTCCAAATGTACACACATACATCTACTTTAAGACACATACCAGAACCATCGCGCACGCTTCGCACGCGGCGTTCTTTGACGCCCTCCAGCGCCAGCGCGGGGTCGTGGCGGCCTCTTGGGACCCCTGGAGCCCCCTGGAGCCTTCCCAGGGCATCTTCAGAATCCCTAGGGCTGTCGGAGCAGCCTTCAGCCTCGTCTTGAGGGCGTCGTTGGGGTATCTTGGGCCGTGTGAGGAGCGTCTGGGGCCCCTCCTGGGGGAGCTCCAGGACACTTCTTAAGCTATGTTGAGCCCTCCTGGGGGGGCCATCTTGGGGCCCGCTTGCGGTACCAGCGGTGTAAAAACACCGGCAGGAACTTTGTGACTTGGTTGAACTTTGGCTCGGGAGGGCCGCGTCAAGCCACAACCCCAAGGCGGACACCCATCCTCCCCTTGTTCCACTCAGATTTTGCACGGACGCGCGGGCCACAGCGCTTCCCAACTCGAGGGGAGCCGGCAGATCTGGAGGGCTACGCCTCTGCTGGCAGCCCACCTCGCGAACCATGTAGGGGCCACGTTGGGCCGACCACGCGGTCATCGCTGGGCCCTGTCGTTGGGGTCATGTATCGAGTTATGCCCCTGAGGGCCACACGCGTTTGGGGGGGGGCACTCTAAGATCGCCTCGAAAGGTATTGGGGATTCTTCGTGGCAAGACGGAAGTCGGGAGGAGGAAGAGGGACGAGAGAAGAGGGAAGGAACGGGGAACAGGGAATAGGGAGGCGGGTTGAGGGAGGACGAAGAGTGAAGCAGGGTAGAACGAGGGAGACAAAGAAGGTAGGAAGGAGGAGAGGAGGCAGGAGGAGCAGGGGAAATAGGAGGGAGAAGAGAGAAAGAAAAAGGAAAGAGGGAGACGAGGCCGGATTCGGAGATGACGTGGGTGCGGGCGTCGGGCTGCTGGGCGTCGGCGCCTCGATTGGGACAAGCACTGAGGAGGCGAGCTGGCGCGCCATGAGGAGGCGGGCCGAACTGCTACATGAGATGTTGAATGAGGCGGGCGTGGGACACACAAACATGCGCATGTGTACATGTGGCGGGCAAGCAGAAGACCATCGCGCGTGCAGTAGACGCACACTTGCCAGAGCAGCGCGCGCGCTTTTCGGTTCTAGCGTATACCAGGGCGGCCACACAACCTCGTGTGAGCACGGGTCCAAGGGTCCAATTCCGACACGATCACAGTCTGGGGACCCCACTTTACAGCCGCCGACGCGATCAGCGTGACCGACGCTCCACGCTGGACAGTACTTTCCATGAGAGCAGCGCGACGTAGGAATCTGAAAAAGGTGGGTGGAGAAGGAAACGCACCAAACGCGCCACGCGCATCATGCGCATGGCGCCTCCCAAGGAGCCTCCAAAGGACCCCAAGAGGCAGACGAGCGCATGTGAGGACAATGAAAAGGAGCGCTCCGAGCCGTTGAATCGCCACCCTCGCCACCCCCGCATGCGCAGCACATGTCTCCGGCTGTGAAGTCGCTGTCGTCGTACAAGTAGTCATATGCGCAATACTGAGCATAATCTGTCCACCATTCGCAACCGCCGCCATTGGTCCCTATTGCTTCCTCCGAAGTGTCCGCACAAGTTGCCTGCACTACTAACTGATCTACCTCCGGCATGCCAGCGGGTACCCCGTATGAGAGACGATCATGAGGAAAAGGTGGGAATGGATAGTAGCACAAAGCAGTGCCAAACTAGTAATTGTTACGAGTGGCTGGAACAGCTACGCCATAATATGATACACTTGGAAGCACTGGAGGTAATTCAACATGAACGATGACGACAAGCCCCCTATCGGAAGGCGGTCCGGGCTTCGTCTCCTTTCCCTACTGTTTCGAGCCTGACCTCTTTCCTCATATTCTATCGTCGACTTCTTCAGGATTTCGCCTCATCCTGCTCCGATTGCCTTCCCCCGGTCCTCATCATCATATCCTCCCCTCTCCTCAAAGAAGAGAGGGAGGCGAGGGGGAGAACCGGGGGCGGCGGCGGGGAAGGGTGCGGGGAGGGGATCCCGCAGAGGGACCCCGTGTGGTTCGAAGATGACCCCAAGATTGCTCCAGGAGTGCTACAAGACGCGCCCCGATGAAACCTGATATGCTTCGTTTCCAACGTTTCCAAATGACACACATACATCTTACTTTAAAGACACATACCAGAACCCATCGCCGCACGCTTCGCACTTCGGCGTTCGTGACGCCCTCAGCGCCCCAGCGCAGGGGCGTGGAGGCCCTATTGGAACCCCTGGGAGCCCCCTGGAGCACTTCCCAGTGATCTTCAGAATCCCTAGGGCTGTCGGAGCAGCCTTCAGCCTCATCTTGAGGGCGTCGTTGGGGTATCTTGGGCCGTGTGAGGAGCGTCTGGGGCCCCTCCTGGGGGAGCTCCAGGACACTTCTTAAGCTATGTTGAGCCCTCCTGGGGGGGCCATCTTGGGGCCCGCTTGCGCTACCAGGCGGCGTAAAACACCCGGGCAGGAACTTTGTGACTTGGTTTGACTTTGGCTCGGGAGGGCCAGCGTCAAGCCACAACCCAAGGCGGACACCCATCTCCCCTGTCCACTCAGATTTTGCCCGGACGCGGCCACAGCGCTCCCAACTCGAGGGGCGCGGGCAGATCTGGAGGGCTACGCCCTCTGCTGGCAGCCCCCCCCGCGGAACCATGTAGGGGCCACGTTGGGACGACCACGGGTCATCGCTGGGCCCTGTCGTTGGGGTCATGTTCGGGTTTATGCCCCTGACGGCCACACGCGTTTGGGGGGGGGCACTCTAAGATCGCCTCGAAAGGTATTGGGGATTCTTCGTGGCAAGACGGAAGTCGGGAGGAGGAAGAGGGACGAGAGAAGAGGGAAGGAACGGGGAGCAGGGAATAGGGAGGCGGGTTGAGGGAGGACGAAGAGTGAAGCAGGGTAGAACGAGGGAGACAAAGAAGGTAGGGAAGGAGGAGAGGAGCAGGAGGAGCAGGGGAAATATGGAGGGAGAAGAGAGAAAGAAAAAAAGGAAAGAGGGAGACGAGGCCGGAATCGGGATGACGTGGGTGCGGGCGTCGGGCTGCGGCCGTCGGCGCCTCGATTGGACAGCACTGAGGAGGCGGGCTGGCGCGCCATGAGGAGGCGGGCCGAACTGATACATGAGATGTTGAATGAGGCGGGCGTGGGACACACAAACATGCGCACGTGTACATGTGGCGGGCAAGCAGAATAACATCGCGCGTGCAGTAGACGCACACTTGCCAGAGCTGCGCGCGCGCTTTTCGGTTCTAGCGTATACCAGGGCGGTCACACAACCTCGTGTGAGCACGGGTCCAAGGGTCCAATTCCGACACGATCACCGTCTGGGGACCCCACTTTACAGCCGCCGACGCGATCAGCGTGATCGACGCTCCACGCTGGACAGTACTTTCCATGAGAGCAGCGTGAAGTAGGAATCTGAAAGAAGGTGGGTGGAGAAGGAAACGCACCATCTACCTCCGGCATGCCAGCGGGTACCCCGTATGAGAGACGATCATGAGGAAAAGGTGGGAATGGATAGTAGCACAAAGCAGTGCCAAACTAGTAATTGTTACGAGTGGCTGGAACAGCTATGACATAATATGATACACTTGGAAGCACTGGAGGTAATTCAACATGAACGATGACGACAAGCCCCTTATCGGAAGGCGGTCCGGGCTTCTCCTCCTTTCCCTACTATTTCCGCCTCCTGCACTCTTTCCTCATCTTTTTACCTAACAGCGAAGACTGATAGGTTTCTAGTAGTGTCAAAAGAGAGCATCTTGACTCCCCAAGGGGGTCTGGGCGGGTGCCGGGGAGAACCCGCGGAAGTCGTCTTAAGCAAACAGTTACACACTTCGTGGTCTTCGAGGTCCCAGAACTCCATTCCCGGGCCACATTCTGAATGCCCGGAGCCAACAGTAGGCCACTTCGTGCTCTTCGAGTTCCCAGAACTCCATTCCCGGGCCACATTTTGATGGCCCG